TGAGTTGATAATCCTTACTGTGACTGACTATCCACAAGTATCTATGTAGACTTGATCAATTGAGCAACACTCTGGCTGCACAGGCGCTCATGCAGCAATCTATGGATAGCTACAGGTAATCAGCTAACATCTAGACAGACATGAGCAATGGAATTGCTCCTAAATTGAATAGATGCATATGTCTAATCTGATGGTCAGTACAGCTGCCTACTTCACCATTTAGCTCTTATCTCTCCTTTAGAAGTGTTGGCTAAGAAACTATTAGATCAATTTAGAATTTGTGAACGGATTCAATCCTTGTCTTGGTCTTTATAGTATTTTATTATCTCCTCATACTGAGACAGACATTATACATCGATAACAACCAATATTGTTTGTAGAAATAATTAACTCCACTAAGATATGTTTGTATCTATTCTTTGAAAGTGCCAAGGTAATAGCTCACAGGGTATTTATACCACAGTATTTTGCTGCATCATTTTATATTGAGAGGTTAAGATTCTGTACCTTTCACTATACACTACCCATCTCTACTCCACCTAGGGTAAATTTCTGATATAGTTACACAGTAGATATTGTTCTGTACTAACGCTTCATTGACCTGTGTTAAGATATAGGTTTTATAATTACGTGCGGTTACTCCTCCATATAAATCTAGTTTTCTCCTATTCTAACACTTTAACATCTTAGCGAGTCTCTCCCTTATTTGTCTTTTTTATCTAATATCTGTCGCTATAAGCCCACCTTTTTAAGGTCCAGCTGGGACTATATTATAAGGGGCTCTTTTCAGTAAACGAACCCAAGTTATATAGACATTGGTAACTTGAGAGACTATATGCTTTAATATATTACTAGGATAATAAGCAACAGACTTTTCTATGCTTTTACAAATGGCACTAGGTATGGTTAATACATTTTGGTAAAATCAATAAAGCCGGTTGGTTTACCCATCACAAACATACATATTACCAATTTCTAGTGAATATATAGTTATCCTCCTTCTTGTCTATGGTTATATGTTGTTAGTTTAATTTTCAACCAATTATATTTTCTTACCCAAGAGGGATTTCTCCAGAGAGATTTTCCCTGATTTTTGTCTTATACATAGACACGTCAGACACTAACGCAAGGATGGCATACACCTCCTCAGCGCTATACAATCTCTGTGACCTCTTCTCAATCCTACAAACCCATGCCACCCCCCACAAATCCCCACCCCCCCACAAGCCCTTGCCACCCCCTACCACTCCCTGCTAACCCCCACAAACCCCTGCCACACCCCACAAAACTTTCTCTAGGCACTTTAGCCTCAATTTAATATTATTGGGTAAGCTTTCAAATTATTTAATATTCTTTGACAAACTTTTAAAATTATGTATTTTGAATGTGAATGTGAATATATATATTGTAAAGGATCCTTCTATTCGTGCAGTGCTGATCCTTGTAGTTTCTCCCGAAATCCCACTGAAACAGAGTGATTATAGCTTCCAACCCCCCAAACATGAGTCGAGACTTCATGAAGGGGTAAAACGATCTGATTTAATGGGGGCTACCTGCCCGGTATTTATGCAGGTCTCCCACCTGGTGGACACTCCCCTAGGGTACCAGATGGAAGACTGGGTCAAAAGAATTACAGTAGCCAATCGCAGTGGCTATAACATAAGCACTCCCCTTTTACATAGGTCACTCCCTCCTTACCATCCTGGAGATAATTAACTTAAGGTAGTAAAGAGAGCCTTAATTATCTCCAGGTAGAAAGAAACATGGCTTTTCCCATATTCACAAAACAGCATAAAAATCTATAACTTATATTTTACTGAACATAAACTTTAAGTCCCACATACCCCCAGATAGCTTGGATCTGAGAGCATATTCTAGGCGAATAGCGCTCAGATCCCACGAACACAGTTCTCAATAACGTCGAATGAAGTTTGGACTTCACCGGCCGTTTGCGTGTTTGTATCCGACAAAGAGTTCCACACTGTAGCTATCTGGGGTTGGTCTCTTTTGCATAAATCCAAGTCCCGAACGGTGCAATGTCTCCGGTATTCGTGTGTTTTCAACCGTATGAACGAGGACCTTGGTAAGTATCAGCGGTGTTCGGCAGAATAAGTATCCGAAAGAGAGTTCCAGGGCATCGCCGCCATTTACCGCTGGGCGTTCGACGATTTAAAATGGCGACTGCCACGTGTTCGGCAGACGAACCCGGACCACCAAGCTGTTCCCCAATTACTCTGTGGTTAACCGCAAAGTCTGGGTGGTTAATGGGTGCCACACGACCTCAGTAGGAGGTCGGGTGATTCTGCAGTTTATTCGTTTTATTGCTATTTGCACGAAATCACCCCACACACGTCTAAATAACCGAACAGGCTGGTTCGTATAGTCTGCTTAACAAGGGATTTCGTTACATATACATATATATATATATATATATTAAATCATTTAAAAGGTTTATAAAAAATAATTAAATGGAGGCCTTGGTTTAATTTGCGAGAAGACTTACCAAGGTGGAAAAATCACTGCCTTAGCCTGCTTAGGGGAGAGCAAAGTAGAAAAGAGTTGGTAAACATATAAACAGATCAGCAGCGTCAACAGAATCCGCAAAACCTCAAATCTTTAAATTGTGTCTTTTTTACCTGTCACGCAGGATAGCAATTCTGGTAGGTAAGTATAGTGAGATTGTTGGTATTGGTCGGTGAACATTGAAGTTGAGGATTGTGTCTGCCTCTGGTCTGCAGAGACCTCCACCAGTGCTCTGACTTCATGTCTTCTTGCACAACGGCAACACCACTGCCCAAATAAAAAATATAAATACATTTAAAAAAAAATTATATATATATATATATATATATATGTAAATCATTGTTTAGTAAATATACACCAAATCAAGGCATGATTGCATGTAATTAATGCATTTTTTTTTCTTTTTTTCATTGAGGTTATATCTAAAAACAGCTTGTAAAACCTGCAGATCTCGTGTCTGCTGCCTTTGCAAGCCATCCCTATCTAACCCCACCCAGACTTTCTGTGGCTGTCCAATCCAGACTTCCCAATGCAGCTCAATGAGAAGTCTTTGCAAGGCAGGTGCCCTGAGCAATTACTGCCTCTTGAGTTTAGCTCCACTGAGAAACAACCAGGAAGTAACAGGACTGGTCGTCATACTGACAGCTAAGGGGTGCAACAAGGTTCATTTACATTTTTTTATATTACAATTTGTACTTGTAAAATGAAAAAAATAGGTTGCATTCATTAAACATAAAAGGGGATTAAAGGGACAATCCATTTTCCTGGCACTGCAGGTCCCCTCTCCCTCCCACCTCCCAATCTCCGGTTGCTGAAGGGGTGAAAACCCCTTCAGTCACTTACCTGAGACCCCTGCCGATGTTCCTCGGCGGTGGTTTTGGGTCGCCACCGCTCCTCCCAGTCATTACGTCAGCCGGTGGGCGAGACTGATACCGCCCGCAGCCGGAGACCTAATGCGCATGAGCAGCATTGCTTTTCAATGCTTTCTTATGGGGAATTAAACGATGCTGGAGGTCCTCACAGAGCGTGAGGACGTCCAGAGACGCTCTATCACAAGTTTTCTGTGCTATGGACAAGGAAGTGCCCTCTAGTGGCTGTCTAGTAGGTGGAGTTAACCCTGCAAGGTAATTATTGCAGTTTTTTTTTTTAAAAACTGCAATAATTGCACTTGCAGGGTTAAGAGTAGTGGGAGTTGGCACCCAGACCACTCCAATGGGCAGAAGTGGTCTGGGTGCCTGGAGTGTCCCTTTAACTAGGAATCACAGGGCCCCAGTGCAAGAATCAGAAAAGGGGCCCCTCTTACACTCTCACTTATACACATACACTGATATACTCACTAACACACACTCTTTCACTGACAGACACACACTCTCACTGATTTGACATACACTGACAGACACACACACTCACTGACAGACACAATCATTAACAGACAAACAAACTTGAGAAGTTTAATAAAAACATGACCATGGTTCACAACCTGATGTTGAATAGTCCAATATGTAACAAAGTGTATTTATGAACTATTTAGGCATTCTAAATAGCACTAAAATTGGAACCTATCAAATATCCTTTCAGTATTAAAAACCATATTTTTTGCACCATTATATGCTGCAAAGGATAATTCTTTTCAGGCAAATATGTCACATATGTGAAGGTATGGCATTTAGAAATGTCACTTACCACCTGATTTCAAGGCCTTAGATTGGTAAGCTGAATCGTTCGAAGGGTCCTATACAAAGCAAATTGGAATGTTGGATCTTTTGTGGTGATCCAAATGATAATCAAATTCTATACGTTTCTTGTTGCGCAACCTGACACACACCTTTACTGCCACTCACTCAAAACATTGCTGTTAAATTTAGATTTCAACCACTGCACACAGTGTGCACGAATAATTACCAATGATAAACATACTTATTTCGGGTGGGCTTTATAGGCTCAAGAAGTTTAATTACTATTTACATGGAAGAGACTGATGCGAACAAGGTTATACTGTCCAATAGAGAGATAAACATTGTTTTTGTTACGATTTGATGCTTAATTTCATTTTGTTTGATTAAAATGTTCTTTAATATATGTGTTACTATAGCCACTTTTATTGTATTCTTGTTTTTCAGAGTAAGGAGCGACGTGTTGTAGCTCTGTTCACTATATCTAACTGCTGTTGCTCAGGAGCTGTAGAGAGTAACTAAAATGAAACACAAGTAATTCTAATGATCATATCTATACAGTTAGGAACTTACACAAATACTATTTAAGTCTGGGCCAAAGTACTAGGAAATACAGATTTATTCAGAACTCCGCGTTAGATAAAGAAACAGCAATGTATTCAGAAAAGTCATGTTGATATTGAGCTGTTGATATTACAAGGCGGGTCAGTGTAAATCAAACAGACAAATAATACATAAAAGAACATAAGAGTATTCAGCTAAGCTCCATGTTGGTGAACGACGGAGGTAGGACCATTTTATTATTATTAAATAATGACCTTTAAAGTACAATCCTGAACATGTGCATTTCAATAATTGTTACCAACAAAGAAGTAAAGCAAAGAATGTACAACAGGTTGCACCGTTGAAAGTTTGCGACTTTCCAAAGTTATACCTGTTATTTCAATGAATACCGTTAAGCTGAGAATTCTAGTGTAATTTGAAAAACAGAATTAATTACAACGCCAGGGGAATATAAGCGTTTCCACGTACTAAAAAAGGAGAAGAGATGTGTACATATGTATGCAATTGCCAGCGAAATAGATATTTCTGGATGTAAAACTTGGCTTGCATGCAACATTCAAAAAAAAGTTGAAAATCACAGTTGAAAAGCTGTGAACAGTGTCTATCAGGCATATATTACCATCAACTTAATTTCATGTGTTGTTTTTTTTTTAGGTAAAATATCCAGCAAAAACCGGCCTGCTGCCATATTTTGTCACGATGGAGGTCTACAACACAAATAGCTAAAACTGAAAACTAATAACACACTTAAAATATAACCATTTCAATATCCTTTTTGTTTGATCTTACAGCTTTACTTTTTCATATTCATTTTTTTCCCAAAAATGTCGAGCCTAGCTTTACTAATTTAGTTTCATAAGGTTTCAAAATTATATTGCTATAATGTATCATGAACATTTGAAATTTGTCTAAGAAAAAAAACTGTAAAAAATAAAATGATTTCTTAGTTTTATAGTACGTTTTCAACAGACCAGAGTAGAAAATTCAGAAAATAAATATTCAATATAATACTTGTGTCTACAAATGAGGATAGTGACTTGAATTGGAGTTTTACTACAATGTACCTGTCTCTAATTTCTATTGGAATTACTGATGGTTCTATCCCATAGTATAAATTTGGAGAAAAAATAAATACATTTTAGAGTAAATAGAATTCGGTCAGTATGCTCAATGCTCATTGTCACAACATACAATTCAGACGTAAAGTAAAATACTACACATGACAAACTTGTAAAACCAATACAGGATGAATACTAGGATAGCAGTTGACTATTAAAGATTGCAATGTCATTCTATAAATCCTTGTTTCAAGTCTTTGTAAAGGCTTTATAATAATACAACAGGAAATGTCACTTTCCGGTCATCGCTTAGTAAATCCACGTCTTCACATCACGCAAGATGAGAGATTAGTCAAGAATGTTCGGAAGATTCATAATTCGTCTCAATTGTGGTATAATTACTAAACAATGTGTCAACTAATGATTTACAAATGTTAACACGAACATAGAGGGGTTGGAAACATTCTGCCATAATTTTAATTTTTACCTGGCTCTACTATTTTTACGTAGTTTAGCAAATTATTTGCAATGTTTTGCTTAATGAATAAGCGTATTCCAAGTAATCGTAACTGTAAATATAAGCTATTTTGTGAGGTCTTTGAACTTACAAGTAAAACAGTAGTTTTGGTAAGCACATTCTGCAGAGTGGGAGCACATGGATAAAATTATACCAAGTGTAACAAAATACATATCTTACATAAATCTCATTAAACACTTCAACACCGCCATTTTGAGTTTCTCGCAATCTAGATTACATGTAATGAAAAAGGCCCTACAACTGAGGTTGCAAACAACACCTGTGAGAATTAATTCCAGCAAATGATAAAGTGTAATAATGAATTAAAATGTATCTACACAACTTTCTAAGGCCCTGTGATACGATGTAATTATGCTAAGCCAGATCCAATTGCAGTGCTGTTTGGTTTTGTAAATGTGAGAACACAGAAGTAATTGACAAAGCAATCTAGTTAGACCTCTATATCAATCATTTATATATATATGAACTCACATTTGTTAAAAAAAAAAATCTTATACTATTGCCTTAAGATTCATTGTAAAGAATGAAAACAAATTTGGTGTTTCTGGTCATCAACTATCAGAAACTGGATACGAGTGGGTTTTTTTTTTCATTATAAATGCTTGTCATTTGTTATTTATGATCATTGAGAACTTCAGTGATCACATGAACTCTAACAGGCAACTCAGCGTTATACCAACTTGACAATAATAATAATTTAAAGAGATGGCATAATTTTAAGGTGGTGCTTAGCCATGGAGTTTTAATAAAGTTACGTAATCCATAACTTTACACAATAAAACTATACAGTGACTACTGAACGCTGGAACTCAAAGTAAGTATTAATTCTTCTCAAAAAATGACTGCTAGTAGTTAAGGATAAAAAAAGAAGTAGGTTGTCACACAATTATCAAAATAACTATGTAACTCTATATGCGCATGGTAATGAAACATTACAACTTTAAATCCTAACCCAGGACCAGACTGCCACAGGAAGACAGAAATGGCATTTAATGAAGAGTGCCCAGGCAATTATATAAAATATATTATTTTAAGTTTATTTCCTTCCGAAACAAGTAATTACAACCCAGTAGTGATCACACATAATCTGATTGTATTTCTGCATGATATAGGGAAAATACATTCTCAAACTGTATGTGTATGGAAAATATTTATAAGTAAAATCCATGTTCTAAATTGGAAGAAACTATCTACAATTTCTTGATTTGTGTAAGTCAAGGGTGGCCAAAAGCTAGACCTCCATGAAGCTACAAAACCCATGATGACTTACCAGATGTGATGTTGGCAACATATGGATAAATTAATTTCCATTAGTCAGGCAGTCAGATTGTCTGTGATCACTAACAAGTCTGAATTAATTTTTTATTTTTTTTTAATGGAAATAATATACAAATCAAATTTAAATATAATTTTACACAACTGACAGAGGACTTGTCAATAAATTATTTGAATGTGTGAAGGGGTCATGTTTATTGCTTGGGTTACCGCTTGATGTATCAAATTATATATAATGATTAAAGACTTTTTAGCTGTCTCAGTGAAATGTTTTAAAATGCTTAGTTAGGGTCTCTTCCCTCCCTGCAGAGCACGTATTACACCACAGCCTGAGTTATGCTGAGCAGGCTCGCTTATCTATTCCAACATACAGAATTATACGTGACAAAGAATACTGTGCCAATCTGTGATTGGCTAAAGAAAGTGTAACACCCTAGACCAGGGCTGTCCAACCTGCGGCTCCCCAGATGTTGCTGAACTACAACTCCCATGATTCTTTCAATTAAAAAGACAGCCAAGGAATCATGGGAGTTGTAGTTCAGCAACATCTGGGGGGGCCGCAGGTTGGACAGACCTGCGCCTAGACTAAAAATCTATATATCCCCTTTGCTTTGAAGGAAAAATAAAAGGCTTGATTAAAATACATTGTGTTGTCCTGTGTGTTATTTCTAACGGGCCTTTTCCCAGATCTGAAAGAGATAAGCGGAAAGCAGAAATTTGGTGACAAGTCCATGGCAGTGTGAGAGACCTGAAAAATGTACAGCCTTACCATGTTCATTGGTGGTACACAGAGAGCCTTGAAAGCCTGGTATCTGTAGATTATATGCAGTACTTGTAATTATGTAATAACTCACATTGACAAGCACCTGTTTAGAATTTTATTGTGAGCCATAAGATGAGCAATTCTCCTTCAGGAGAAACCAAAAGCTTTCATTTCACATAGAGGGAAGACAGCAAATAACCTGAGTGTCAGGAAGAGGATTGTACATTCTTAGCTTTTTCAATGGTCACAGGCGTTACACTACAAAAAACTAAATCTAAGATGTCCTTAAAAACACAAACAGAAGTGTAGATTTTACAAAATATGTAACAGGTTCAATGAAAGGGTTTAGTTTCCCTTTTAAATACGAATATATCATAAACCTCTGTTTTCAAGATACAACTGCATTGAGATTGCAATTTACATCTGTAAGTGGAAATACTAAGAGAGGATAGTCAATTTGACAAGGATTTCTTTCAATAGTCAATGTTGACACCAAGGGTTATCCTGTGATCTGCACATAACAGTACAGTGTTTCACAAACCAGAACTCAAAGACCACAGATGGTCCAGTTTGAGTTTATGTCTGAATTACAGTGAAAGCACTATATAATGAAAAAAAAACACCATGATGTATGCTACTAGGCATATTTGGCTCCATGATAATGGAGTCAAATATGCACACACAATCATAAAAGTTCTAAAAAATGTATATATAGATGACAGAGGATGACGATGTGGGGCCATCCCAGATCTGGCCACTGGTAGCCCTTTGAGGACAGGTTTGACAAGTACTGGTGTAAAGAATATTGAAAAAATATATATATTTCCCGCAGCTTGGTGAGCCATACAGACAGGTCCATCTTTAGCAATATTGGGGAGGCTTATTGCAGATTATAGTTTGGTAGTGTTATTCATTCAAGTTGGGTATGGAGTGTACAGTAAACAAAATAATAAAACAGAGCTAGGTTTAACCACTAGTCCACTATCATGTGCTTGTACTGCATTTCACTGGAGGTTCTAATCTACTTTTCAAACCATATAATACATATTAAATTACAGATAGACCATCTGTCAGTCAGATTCAAGAACCATTAAAAATGGAATACTAAAGTAAGGCGGAGTAGAGATTAGAAGATATCTTGAAAGTTGAGGTAGAACCCTTTCCTTTTTCTTCTGCTTGATCGCCCTTAGAAAAACTTAATAAAACCGTCTTAAATAAAATCCTAGAGATTCATGATTGTAACGTATTGGAATGAAGGATCTGACAGATGTCCTGAGGATTTCAAACAAGATGAACCCAATCACTGGGAGTCCGACCATACTGCAAAGAGAAAAAGGATGTAAGTGAATTTATTAAAGTAAAATCACATGAACGATAAAGATCACATGGCAGGACTGTCACTATAACACATAATTTGCATAAAATTGGTGCTCAAAGGGCTTAATTATACATATACACACATATATATATTTCTCTAATAATTCATGCACATTCACAAAAGAGCCCCAATTTCCCTCCTATTCCGTCCTATACACGTGTTGTGGATGAAGAATTAAGTAAAATAATAGGCTTCCCCCTGACACCTTAGGGGAAAAACAAAAAACAAAATGTGTTCTTCTCCCTTGCAGCCACACTAAAAGTGTAGCAGGCAATGGACAATATCACACAGCAGAAATCCTTTTACTTCATTACAACAATGGAACACACCTTCTAGTACTTCCTCATTAAGTGGTGGGTGAGGGGTTGATATAGAATAGCAGTTGTTGCCAGTACCTATTAGTTATTAGGGAGGATCTGTACAATGATCCATCATATCCCCAAACCTTGAGTATTGGATAATGCAAAGATAATGGGAGAGATGCCCACCCACTCGGTCCCTAAAGACTTTTACCAATCTCATTGTGTGAGAGTATAGGAGGAAGCCCAAGTTAATTTCAGTTTATAAGGTGATATCAGAGGGGATTGCAAGATAGCTTTAAAGTTTCAAGAACCGCTTTAAAAATCAGTCATCTTTTGCCTATACAAGTAATGTTATCATAATTCAGAACGATGTGTTCTAAAATAATCTAACATGGAAACATAGGGACTGGGACATTTTCGAAGACAATGCAGTGTAAAATATGGAGTGTTAAATAGAGTTTAAAATGTGCAATGATAGAATGCACTGATCAATGTCGCCCTCTAGAGCCTACTATCAGAATTGCATCTGCATTTAAAGTAAAACGCAGCAAAATCAATTATAAAACAAACGTTTTCTGTAATCTGTAAAGTTCTTGTTAAGTATATTACATTTATTTTCTTTAGATAGTTGAAATAGGTTGAATTGTGAATTTTTAAGTTTTAGCATTCTTTTTTCTCAGCTGTCAGATGCTCAAAGTTCTAAAATATTTAGGGCTCTATTTAAAGTTCTAAATGTGAGCTATTCACCATGAAAAGCTTGGCACTCTGATGTGGATTGAACTGTTGTTACAAGATTGCTCACAGAAGCTCTTTATAAATAAACAAAGTATATAACACTTCTTGCACCTTAGGTGTGCCTTGTTCCTAGACATTTTTTCAATAAATGTAATGTATACTTTGGTCATACGGAATAATTTAAAAGTCAATTCAAACACTCGGTTCAACAAAAATACATTCTGTTCACCTGGAACTTCTTCATTTCTACCTGAAGTCTATAAGCAACAGCTTGCCTATGACTAGTTGTACCTACCTGAATGTCAGTAAGTGCTGCCAGAAAACGCTTAGAGATATCAGGTCCATTCTCCATAGTGGGTATAGCATAATTCTAGAAAAAGAGCAAAAAGGCAAATGTGTAGTTTAGATATGTATTATAAACCCTTGTGGGATTTACCAGTAGGTCATCAGCGTATTGGTAAAGATAAATCTAGGTTGGCTACAACAGAAGTGATTTGATTAGCAACTAATAAAGTTACAGCCACTCCTTCCACTTTAGTGTGCCATGCCAAGAAGCAATCCACAGGTAATTATACCTATACATTTTCTAAAGATTTAGCCATCCCAAGGTATACATTGCATAGTCTATACAAGGAGTGCCCAAAAGTTAGATTCACCAGATGTTTTCAAACTACAGCTTCCATGATGTTTTGTCATTCAAAATCATTCCAAAGGCATGCAAAGCACCATGGGAGTTTTAGTTCTACAACATCTGGGAACCTACCTTTTGGGCACCACTGGTCTATACCCATATCGAAATAAACTTCCTTCATCATCCACACTTACCGTTCCATTATAAAGAATCCTACTCACAGGACACACTACACATGCAGTCCCTGCTCCAAATATTTCCTTCACTCTGTCTTCTTGCAGCCCTTTGACGACATCAGCCATAGTAACTGTGCGTTCGGATACTTTAAAATCTCCCTGGGAAGAAAATTAAATAGTAATACTTAGGTGGCCTATTCATATTGAACCAGTGGAATTACCAAATGTATCCCTTTGTCGATTAAAATCACAACTAATTGTTTAGTGAATAAAAACCAAGCAAAAATACATTGTTAAAATATGCTATTATATAGCTTCGCTTTATGAATGTGTCAAATGTAAACACAAATTAACTTTTATTTTCTAAATTAAATACTATTTTACCTAGCCATTGAAACATATTCAGTTTGTAATTGATGTTTTATCATCTTACACAACTCTGTATTTCTTTATTCAAGTATACTTTTTTGGTTTAAATCGTTAAGTATCAAACAGTAATGTATCTTTGATGACAAAACAAAGATTTAGACTTCCTGTCACATGACATCTGATACGAGCGCAAACTAACCCAATATCTGTGTGTACAAGTCAGTATAATCTGCAGAAGTAACCCAGCAACAATGCTCCAGGTGAAAACGTGTTTATTAATATCACTGTAAATTGCATTGTCTTACCTGTAATGTAATAGTTTTATGCTATGCATTAGTCTAGGTTTGACAAAGACATATTGGCAAGATTACTCATTAGAGGGTGACTCGATGGAAATTCAAAGTGTATTTCATACCTTTGGACAAACGTAACTGAAACAAAACTGTCGGACTGTAATAATGTCTCCAATATGTCTACTTCGGAATACAATGTGTAAGTCACTTTGAATTCCCAACAGTTATTAAAATTATTTATATGTTGGCAAAATATTCTGCAGCGCTACACAATATGTAAAACTAAACAAAAAATTCATTCAAATAAAACACGCTTGACATACGGGAATGCTAGGTGATAATCATAATCAGTAATGTTAATGCTGAAACAATGTCACTAACGGGTCAATTTTCTGGGGCTATTTAAATAAACCACATTATTAACCTCGTCAATACCAAAAACAAGTAAAAATATTTGTTTTCATATTTCTTTGCTGTATAAAATTTAGTCCATGCAATCTCACTCACCCTAATTTATACCCTGGTTATTACCGCCCTGTAGATTAACTAATCCATCTGCCAGAACCCACTAGTCCCTGATGTACTGCCTGTAAACATGCTGAAAAAATGCCATCTCACCCTCTGCTTTCAAATAGTACAGGACGTTTAAATGGATTGTTTTCTCTTTACAGTCAGGGAGGGGGAAGTAGTGTATGGACTCTACCATTTACAGTAGCAGTTTAGAGATTGAAAAATATTGCTCTGACTGACTGTATTTACTTTATGTGCACATTCTGCTCAAATGAAGACATTCTTTTTGCATTCTGTAGCCATTTCAAGTAATGCCTTCATGGTCCTTAAAAATACCTACAACAAAGGTTTTTGACCACTTTTATTTACCAATTGTTGTCCCATCTACTGTATGTTACTTTTTTGCATTTCAGATTCTGTGTGAAATATGGCAAGCTAAAAAACACAGTTTACGGTCTAAAGCTGTTCATTTCATAGATATATTTATGAAGGATGAATGAATAAGTTAAATTTTTTTGTAAATTTACATCATTTCAATTTTTCAGTTTGTCTACAAATCAACCTATTCACCCAGCTACTGTGTTACAATATGTTTATATGCTAGCTATGCATCCCTTGCTTCAAATAAATGTGATGCTGCTGTTTTTTCAATTAAAAAGTGCTCCGTAGTGAAAGGGTTAAGAAGCAGTGTTTATTTTATTGTTGCCTGAGGGGCATGGGAACATTCAAGTAATGAGCCCAAGGGACCTAGCAAGGATTCCTTTTCTAAATATTTTTTGAAAGCAAACATATCTCGAGTGGTGTGTAACTGTCAATAACACTAGAACTGAAGTGTCAAGACTTCCTAGCAAAAAAAAAATTCTCAAAACCTACGTGCCATCTTACACCCATGGTATGCGCACACTCCATTTCCTATAGAAATAAATGTATAAAATGGTGGTATTTTAAAGGAACATGGACATCTCCTTAGAATTTTCAGCTCATTGAGATAGTGTATACTAATTCTCTATATGGTGGTCATTAATAAGCGAAGATGGTCAGCAAATGCACTCAAAATATTACACCTTGTTAAACATTCTTCATTCTGAGAGGGCAGAGGGGAAAGATACTGGAAGAGAACTATGTCAGGCACCGGAGGACCAACTTCAGGGCTGACTATTGCAAAGCAGCTTAATCCTGTAAGGTAACATGGTGCCCAGATATTCCTGCCCCGCTAACAACTAGCTAAAGTTGTTATTGGGATGGGAGTGTTCTTTTAAGACAAATGAATTGACTGTCCACATCAATGGATGACATTTTTACACACACAAAAAAAAAAAAAAGGTATTTTGGTTCTTATGTTCGTGAACTCTTAAATCCTTTAATACACAACATTTACATTTTTCTGTCTCAAATTACCGATCATCTTAAATAAAAATGGCAACTTTTAATTGAAGATCTATAAATACAATAGACAACTAAAATGCAATAAATAATTGACAAACCCATACTTCAAATAAGTACAGTATTTACTTATTTCCATTTTTCATACAATTCATGAAATGTTTAATTTACAAACACTGTTTACGTGACAACCATCAAGCAGATTGAAAAAGGGACTGTACAGGTCTTCTACTCACCCACTGCCTTGCAAGATCCAGCAAACTCTGTCTTGTCACGCCTGGCAGAATTAAACCATTAAGTGGTGGGGTCAGAAGCTCTTCCTCTGTATAAAGACAATATAAAGCAACTATTAATTACCTATTTCAACTGTAAAACAAATACAAAATCTTTACAAGCAAAAAAACAAAACAAAAAAACAAACCACTGTAATCAATTCTATACAATCTGGAATAGATGGAATTAATATTAGTATTGGGAAGTAGAGATTGGATGGAAGGTTCATGTTCTTTAAATTGATCCTATAGTGCCAGGAAAACAAACCCGTTTTCCTGGCACTATAGCTCTTGGTTAAAACCCCTTCAGACACTTACCTTAATCCAGCATCAGGCTCCCTCGGCACTGGTGACCTCTCCTCCCCCGCCGACATCAGCTCCCGAGTAGAGCGAAATGTGCATGTGCAGCCAGAGGCGCGCGCATTCAATCCCGCCCATAGGAAAGCAATACTCAATGCTTTTCTATGGGGATCTTATCTGACGCCGGACTCCGTAAGGACGTCCAGCGTCACATATATGCAACTTACTCAAAGTGTAAATCGTGGAAGCGGCCTCTAGTGGCTGTCAGGGAGGCAGCCACTAGAGGCTGGATTAACCCTGCAGTGTTTTCAGCTGCAGGGTTAAAACTTGGGGAACCTGGCACCCAGACCATTTCATTGAGCTGAAGTGTTCTGGGTGCCTATAGTAGGGATTTAAGCATCTTCTTGGCTACAATCATCATAGTTCTTTTTCTTACATCAAAGTGTACTGAAAACATTTACAGAATGTCTCACATAATACAGGTAATACATTTTAAAGGGACACAATTGTCACCAGAACAACTACAGCTTATTGTAGTTGTTCTGGTGAGTAAAGTCAGTCCCTCTAGGCATTTTCATGCAAACACTGCCATTTCAGAGATACATTTTACATTGCCATCTAGTGACACCTCCTGTAGCCACTCCTCAGATGGCCACAGGAGGTGCTTCCTGGGAAGTGCTGCACAGTAGGCAGCACTGCCATTCAGAGTCTCCACGCTCTGCATGGAGACACTGAATTTTCCTCAGAGATGCATTGATTCAATGAGGAGGTGCTGATTGGCCAAAACGGTGTGTGGCCCCACCCTCACCCCTTGCCGATTTCAGCAAAACCTTGAAAATCATTGGATTGGATAAAAATCGGCAATTCTGATGATGTCACCAAGGAGGCATATAGGGGGTGCTGGAAATAAAGTTTTACCACTTACTAAGAGGGCTAAGGGGAGACAAGCCATCTAAATGGTGGATTAAACACTATAGGGTCAGGAATACATGTTTGTGTTCCTGATCCTATAATGTTCCTTTAAAGGGACATTATAGTCACCAAAACTATTTTAGGATAATGAAGCAGTTTTTGTGTATAGTTCATGCCTCTGAAGTTTCACTGCTCAATTCACTGCAATTAAGGAGTTAAATCACTTTTTTTCCTCCCCTGGCTGTGAATGAAACAGCCTGCATGAAAACAAAATGGTTTCATTTTCAACTGGATATAATTTCCCTCAAAAAGTTTTTGTCTCTTGCTCTGTAAATTGAACTTTAATTACATACAGGAGGTTCCTGCAAGGTCTAGCAAGCTATTAGCACATCAGGATATAAGAAATCCTAAATTTAACAGAATTTGCAATAAAGGAAGTGTAAACATTAGATAACTCTTTACAGGAAGTGTTTAGGTAAGGTGTGCAGGGAGGTGTGACTAGGGCTGCATAAACAAAGTGATTTAACTCCTAAATGGCAGAGAATTGAGCAGTGAGGCTGCATGGGCATGATCTATTTACCAAAAAAGTGTTTCGTTAAGCTAAAGTTGTTTTGGTGACTATAATGTTCCTTTAATAAATTTGTTATTTTTACAGTGAGCACTGCAAGTTTTTCCAATTTTTTTCTCTTCCCAGAAGCACAATTTTGACAGGGTACTTATTTTCATTTCATTTTTCTTACTATAATCACTACATAATATATGGCTACATGTGATTTGTTTTGGAGACCTTATATTTGTAACTATAATTTGTTTATTTTAGGGGTGCTATAGAACTATATATACATATTTCAGCTATGTAACTATGTTTATATATATAGGTCTATAGTGTCCCTTTAAGTCATAATTTGAAGCTGTATTCAAGAAACCAGGCAGGGAGAATGAGAGAGGAAAACTCGGAGCACTAAGTATGAATTCTTGCAGGTTACAGGATTATTAGCCAGATATTCACTGGCCCACCATAAAGAATATTAAGTGAAAACATGGCTTCTTTTTTTCTTGTGAGTTTTTTTTTCCCCACTGCAAAGGCAGTACACTACCCAATACATTTAAGGCTAACCCATTTTCAAAAACAAGTTAAGAGCTAAATGCATATTTTATATGAAATGAGGATTGTAGTTCTTAAATTATTTGTCTCTTTCTATGCTGCACTAGTAAACATATATGTAGCAGCCCGTATGTAGAAATGTAAGCTAATGGTAAGAAAAAAAAGGTTTTAAAACAGATACCCCATCGGGTGCAAGGCACCTTCATGAGGCATGTTTTCAAAATTATGTGAGTAAGTCATATCCATACTAGGATTAATAGTGAATAACCAGCTTTACATGTTCTGTATACAGGACTGAATTCACAATTTGGTATTTAGAGTTTGAGGAACATATTCTCTTCAAAGTCTATGGCATAGGTTTGTTACTTTACCTTACAAAACTCAGAGGTGAGTACAGCACATCAAGTCACTTGTACTTTTAACATAGAAAACACTTAACAGGCTGCTAAAAAAAACCAAAAAACATAATTCTATTCCTATGAGTAAGGCCCTTTGAGTCTCAAAAGCGTTAGACTTTGGCTCTCCCCTGTGGTGCAGTTCCTCGTGACGATGCTGTTCATATTAATAAATCAGCAATGATTTGAGTACTCCGAAGGAGCAAGGTGCTTTTTTGGCAAACTGCCCCGTTTTTTCTTTGTTTACAGACCTTTCTCCTCCATCTGGCCAGCATCAATTTGTCATTTTTTAAGCATCTGCCATTTTTGTTTCTTGTTAATGGAGTTCTATGGATTTATAATTTTTTTAAATTTTCTTTAACATCACATTTTAACGTCTACGACTTACCTCCCTGCTCATTGATCCAGTATAAGAAGAAGTTCATTGTGCCAGCTTCAGTCACCTGATGGTCATCACCATAAAGCCACAGTACCTGCTGGCAACCTTCTTTAGCAGCCTCATTTTGCACATATATTGTAGGACCATAGTTTCTGTACAGGCAGAATAAAAAAAAAAAATTAAAACAACACATTGTGAATAGGGTATTAAAAAGTACAAATTGAAGTAGAAATAGAAACAAAGCACCCCATTTCGGAAACTGCATTTTTATGGGAAAAATATTACATTGATTTATTTGGTAGCAAAAAGGAATATAACTCAACATCAATTTCCTGATTATAATCTGCTCTGTTCCATACTCCTGCTAGCTCACAATAAACATATAGTTATTATATTTATTAATCATGGAATTTACTTACCCACCAACTTTGCAGTCGCCTACACCCCCAACCCAGGCGCGCACATATTTAGGATCAGCCAAAAGTGAAACTGGACTAAAGCCACCCGATGGAAAGTACGGCCCCACAGGTCCAACGATAACATACAGCATTGCGTGGTTTGGTTTTGCGACTCCAAGGGAAGGCTGTAAAAGAATGGACACCATATTTTTTACAAAGTTTATCTTAAATTTTTGTCTCAACTACACACGTAACCTGGCCTTTATAGAAAACCCACACATGGCAAATAGATTTTTTTAAATGCACAGTACCAAGTTACAATATGTCCCTGAAAGACAAAGGCCAATTACTATTGAAGCATTTCACTTATGGCCTGGTGAGAGATGACACGGATTCAATAATAAAACATGGAAATACTGGCTAGAAATGACTTTGGACATAAAAATAGAAGAGGAAGGAAAAACACTTTGATCAATGGAGAGGGTCTTGACAGATAAAACAAACTGGACCAGAGGCCGGTTAAGGCTTAACCCTTTAAGGACGCATGACGAAAATATTCCATCATGATTCCCTTATATTTCTGAAGTTGTGTCCTTAAGGGGTAAAAAGACTAAATAGGTGGAAGCTGATTCTCATAATGGTATACTGCAATATTGTATCATTTTTAGTGCCAGAGGGGTAATGGAATATATTATTAATTCCATCGTCAATGAAACATTAAACAGAGTTATAGGATAGATTAACCCCTTAAGACATAACGTCAGAAATAAAAGTGAATCATGACGGAATATTTTCATCATGTGTCCTTAAGGGGTTAAAAAAAAATGTTTTTTGACTGATTGACAATGTAAAATGGGGGGGGGGAGAAGAAAGATTTCCTTACTTGTTTCAGGCTTCTCTTAGTGATAGCAAAAAAAGGGGGGTGGCCATAATAGTGGCAAGTACGAAATTTTAATTTATTTATCAATATGTGGACAGGGAAGGTAGATTTTTAATTTTCATTTGTAAATTAAACAAAATTAAATATACTCTAGTCAACATCTATTTGCCAAATACTTTTCCTGTGGTCACACTGAGAAGGATTTTGGAACAGGTAGAATTGGTCAAGAGTGGAGTATATTTGATGGCAGGAGCTTTTAATTCCGTGTTGGATTCAGTCCTGGATAAGAAACTTAGCCCTAATTTGCAAGTGAACAACTCAGTAGTTAAAATGGCGAAAACTCTTAGAAACATAAAGAACGAGTTTGATTGTTTTGATCTATGGCGATCTTCCTACCCAGAGAAACTGGATTACACTTTTTTTTCCAGAGTCCATTACTCATATTCACGTATCGATATGGTCTGGGGGGATATAAGGGCACTAGAAAACTTAGTGAAAAGTGATATCAGGAATAACACATGGTCGGACCATAGGATCAACACATGCATCATGAAAGATCAGTGGAATACTAAAAATAATATGACATGGAGAATTAATGACTATCTACTCCATAATGGGAAAAAAACGAGAGGCTCTCAGATCCCAGATAGAAAGATATTTTGTAGATAATATACCCAACGAAACACTCTAATAATTGGTGTTTCTTTAAAGCCACATTAAGAGGCAGTTTAATAAGTTTAGAATCGTATCTCAATAGGTCCAGAAGAGTAGAATTAATTCCTCTATTAGAAAAATTAGAAAAAAAATCTAAGGAGAATAAGAAAACACCTTCGAGAGATAACTCGGAAGCGATTACCAAGATTAAAAATCTAATTAATCAAATAAAAATAGAGGAAAACGCAAAGATTATGGGGAAACTGAAGCCGAAAGAATATAGTAAAGGAAACAGAGCAGATAAACTGTTAACTAAGAAGCTGAGAGAAAAAACTGCCTCTAATAAAATAACTACAATAAAGAGGAACGAAGAGGTACATATCTCCCCTAAATCCATTGGTAAATGCTTTAACTCATATTATAGTGAATTATATTCCCTATCAACTCAGGATAAGGAGATAAATATTTAGACAGTATTAACGCTCCTGTAATATCAGAGAACCGAAAAACAGCTCTTAATGCCTTGATAACGGCACAAGAGGTGGAGGAGGTCATTAAAAAGCTGGACAACAATAAAACCTCAGGTCCAGATGGATTTTCAAACCTATTTTATAAAACTTTTGGAGATTTACTTATAAAACATCTGGTAGATGTATTTAATAACATTGTAGATAGGGGGCAATTCCCAAAGGAAATGTTGAGGGCAAACATATTACCAATTCCGAAACAGTACAAAGATCTGGGAGCGGTGGAAAATTATAGGCCAATTTCCCTCATAAATACCGACATGAAGATCTTTTCCGCAATAATAGCAAACAGGATAAAACAGAGTTTAGCCAATATAATCGATCCTGACCAAATAGGGTTTGTTGCGGGAAGAATTTCTTCAGCTAATACATGATGTATAATAGATATTTTAGATTTAGCTAATAGAACAGAAATCCCTATGACAATCTTGACTGTAGATGCAGAGAAGGCTTTTGATAGGGTCGACTGGGAATTCATGAGTAAATCCCTGATGAAATTTGGTTATCAGGGTTGGATCCATAATGTCCCTGTATTCTGGTCCTTTGGCTAGGACAGTAGGTCCCAATTTATGTGCTGATTGGTTTAACCTCCATAACGGGACAAGACAGGGATGCCCGCTTTCTCCAATTCTATACATTATAACTATGGAGATTTTGGCGATAAATATAAGATCAAATTATCAAATAAGAGGAATAACTACGAAACAGATAGAGCTGAAACTAAAACTATATGCAAATGACCTGATACTGACCCTAACTAAGCCAGTCACATCTATTACTGCTCTTATGAAAACTGTCAAGAGGTTTAGTGAAGTTAAATGAAAATAAATCTACAATTCTAGATATCAACTTAGATACAGCAAGTAGAAACCATATAAGGGACAATTATAACTTTAACTGGGCCAATACTAGTACACCATATTTAGGTATTTTGTTGACAAATAAAGCCTCATATATAGTGTAGGTTTATTTTTTAAGCTGCTTTAGAATTATGAAGAAAGCACTGAACAAATGGAAAAAAATAGAAATTACGTGGTGGGGAAGAATGAATCTTATTAAAATACCCAAATGGGCATATATGTTTCGAATGATCCCTTTAAAAACCCCTGGACCTTGGTTGGATATGATTCAAAATTCAATTAATAATTTCATCTGGAAGAACAAGAGACCTAGAATTAACAAAACTCTCTTGGCTCAGAAAATTAAAGATGGAGGCCTGGGTTTCCCAAGTATCATAGATATTTATCTTGCAAATTAGTTTTTTTTCATATCTACAGAACGCAATTGGATAGTGTAACAAGGGAAGGGTATATCTTAGAAAGCGAGAGTTTCCAAGTAAAGGATCTTAGCTCTATCCTTTGGCATAGGTACACAGACTTGAAGATTAAGCTTATTAGACAATCTAATTTATGTAAAGATTCAATACTAGAAATTTGGAAAGTAATAAAAAGAAAAGGTAATATGGAGAATAAAATCCCAAACAATCTTAAAGTTGAATTACTCCCATATTACGTGAAAGACTTACATATAAGAAGTTGTATCCAAAAAGGTATAATCCAAATAGACAATCTGTACTATAATGAAAAAATTAAATCCTTCACACAATTAATACAAGAATTTCAATTGCCAAACAAGGAACTATTTACATTTTTGAGAGTAAAAAAATACCAAAATGATCTGTTCACTTCTAAATTACAAAAAAATAGAGAAAGTTTGCTCTATGGCAATGAATGCTATATTGAAACTGGAGGCTCCTCGGGTTATTATAGCAACACAAAAGTGGGAGAAAGATTTAAATATTACAATAAACAAAGAAATGTGCTGTGCACAACTCTGTTTAAAGTCATCAACAGATGGTATCTCGTTCCCACAAGACTTGCTAGTATGTATAATTCAAGTTCACAGACATGCTGGAGATGGAAGAGGAATGTGGGTTCCTTTTTGCATATCGGGTGGGAATGTGAGATCGTAGGTAAACTGTGGCAGGAAATATTTGATTTTTTAGAGAATTTATTATGTTCGTCGATTCCAAAGCTCCCTGAGAATGCTTTACTTCATCTTAACATCGAACCTTTACTACAGAAGGAGAAGGTTATTTATATTCATTTCATGATAGCGGCCAAATTAACTATAGCACGCAACTGGAAGAGTTCTTCTTTATTTTCCTTGGACAGACTGATATCCCAAGTTAAGTTTCAACTTTGAATGGAAGCTCAGTTGGATAGGGCTCAAGGAAGAGATCCAAAGAAAGTACACAAGGCCTTCTGGTTGGAGAAATTGAAAGGAGAGGGTTAGGCAGAGCCTGAGTGAACGAGTATGCAGGAGTCAAACGCTTTTCGAGTGATTCTCCTGTATACAGTTCAAAAGTGGTCACGGAACAATTGAGTATAAAAAATGGGCTTTCCCAGTAATCCCGCCGGCATGGGAATTGGTATGTGGTTCGCTGGGTACTATGTCGTATTAGTAAGAGGAGACTTTAGTGTACTGTATGTAATTTTATAGGATCCAAAATTGAATTACTCCTTTAGAACGACTAAGAAATATCAGGGTCAATCTCAGAGAACAACGTCTGTATTGTATCTGTGTACAATAATTTATTATGAAGATATTTTGAATGTATATGTTTATTTGTCTCGTTAAAAAAAAATGTTAATAAAAAAAATATGTATATGTTTGCTATTTTAAGCACAGTATAGAATACACTAGATTAATCATCAGCTAAAGAATACCAGGAATGTTAATGGTTTAATGTTTCAACTACCAGTTGTGGAACAGCCTTTAACATTGACCATAAAGAATAGGAAATTAAATTGGCTAAGAAAAGACAAATAAAGCATCCTACAGAGTACAAAGTTAATGTTGTCTAAGTGTCAGCATCTCCACAGATGATTTTTAGGCACAAATGGACTTCATGATTGTCAGCAAGGGTAATGTTTAGTCGCTAATTAAAGAATGCCTTGCATAAAATACAGCGCTATGTAATCTGATGGCGCTATATAAATAAACTAATAATAATAATAATAATAATATTAATAAAACAGGAATTAAGTAAATAACCTTCAATAACTAACTCAAGCCAGGAAAAAAAAGTTAAAAAAGTGTAACCATGTGTGTGAGTTCTCTTACGTTTCAATGTCCTAAAGAAATCTAACCAGATCCAATCAAAATTTGATTTTTCAGTCACACGTTATCTATGTCTAGCAGTACCCGATAATTATGTTACATTTTGTAAGACTAATTACACTATTATTTGTTCCTTGTTTCTTTTGTCCTATTGTACTCTTTATTTGTTTGGTCGTATTTACTGACTGAAAGCCCAAGTGTATGCTATTTTTAAATTTTTCATTACTGGCAAAGTTTTGATCACTCTTTTTTTTTTTTTATAAATTCTTTAGTTTGTTGGTTTTTCGATTTTGTACTTTATGGGGAAGGGGTTACAGAAAGAAGAGATTGGGATGGAACGTTGGTTTTAGATATAACAGTTTGTAACAGTATTAACAAGTCAGGTATTGGCTTATGCGTTGCGTTGTTGTGCCTAGTTTGTATCCGTTTTCCTGAATGATGCTCGGCATATGTTTGTAGTACTCCTTTCGGGAGGAGCTTGGAGTGTCAGGGGAGATGGAAACGGGAAGCAGAGAGAGGGGGGGTATCAAGTGGGTGTAGAGGTTCATTTGTTATGTGTGATGACCTTTCATCGTGTGGGAATTTATTCCGGGTCGTGGGCAATCCATGTGTCTGTTCCTTCGGGGTTTGTTGGTGTGTTATTGATGTCGTATGTCGCCTTTTATTGGGTCTTCGTGCGGGTAGCTTTGATCACTTTTATGCATTATATGTACCATTTAAGTCTGGACCCTTACGTACTGTAGTAACCAACATGAAACAAAGTATAGTAAATTCCCCAAATAGTCTATATGCTCTATATCCTATGGATCTGGTATCCAAATTTACATCTGAATTCAAGTATAAAAGGAACCTTTGCTAGGAGACACTGTGTCTGATTGCTCTCTGGGGCCACAGATGTGACTGAAAACGCTTAACCTACAACATATGTAGACCTTGTACAATTTTAACATACCCAAGCCTTAATAGTTCCACTTACCTCTGTACTAATGAATGTTGGGCGAATGTAGAGACTGGCAGTATCAGAGTAAGGAACCCAATCCTGGTCGACTTCAATCAGCTTTCTCAGACACTCCAACATCTCTGCCTTATCAAATGACTAGCAATAAAGAAATACAACACGTCAATCATTCTCAGTTACAAAGAGAAGCACGACTACAAAAGATTTTGTTCTTAAAGAAAGCCGGATTTGCACATTGCTGAGATGCCGAATTTATTAACAAAGTAAAGAAAATTTGAAAGGTTTCAGGAGATTATTGCTAAGCCTCTCAACGGGCCTTCGTAATTATAAATCTCTACTCCATGAACAGTGAAAAAGTTGCCAGTCAAAGATTCTGATCATCTTCAGCAAGCTGTCGATTACTGGACTTGTAGTATAAAAGAGGAGAAGCTATAGCTACATTGGTAAGGTGAGGTAGTCATATATTTCAATATAAAAAAAAGCATATTAATAGCAACTGAGAAGTAATATATTTCCAGAAAAGCAACTCACCAAAGTTCAAATATAACATAAGGCTTAGATTTAGGGAATCTTGACTATGTGTTATCAAACTAGTTCAGGAGTAAATAGGCTTGCTTGCAATAATAAAAATAGGGATTGTCAGATACTGGATATATTTACAGGCAATGATAATCTCAGCGCTGTCCTGTGCATTCTCTCCATGTTTAACATAGGTCGGAAAAGTCGAACTCGGTTATCCGGTCCTCGGTAAGCTTTCATGCCCTCAAACAGCTGCATCAGTACAAGAAAAAAAAATAGAGAGAAAAAAAAAATAAGGTGTAAGACATAACTTGTTAATATTTAATTGAAGATAAAACATCTGGAAACAATGAAAATCAATGACGTGCATTTATGAGCAGCAGAGGTTGGTGGGTATTACATGGACTATTAACCCCTTAAGGACCGCGGTACGTCTGACAAAAAACGGCAAATATGAGCGCTGGGATCGATCGTGATCGCTTCCAGGCGCTCTAAGGGTATTTCAGCGATGCTTTGATGTCAAGGCATCCTACAATACCTCTCCTAACAGTGTGTTCAGTGAAGTCTCCTGAGTACACATTGAAATTTGCCAGATTGGTTGTTGCCTTTGAGAGCGTATGGTAGCCCAGGAATGAAGATTACCCACATGATGGCATACCATTTGCAAAAGAAGACAAACCAAGGTATTGCAAATGGGGTATGTTCAGTCTTTTTTAGTAGCCACTTAGTCATAAACACTGGCCAAAGTTAGCGCTCATAATAGTTTTTTGCATTTTTAACACACAAACAAATATAAATGCTAACTTTGCCCAGTGTTTGTGACTAAGTGGCTACTAAAAAAGACTGGACATATTATTAGTAGATTTTTCATAATGAGATGTAATCAATGGGTCGGCCATGCTCTGTTGTATGGATAGCAACATTCTATGTTATGCCTAGGACTAAATAATCCTTTGAAAAGATATCTACATGTGTCATGTCATTCCACGTGAAAATATGCTGGTTTAGTAAAAAGGACACTCTGGGCACCATAACAACTTCATCAGAGTGCAGTTGGTATGGTGCCAGGAGGTCCCTGGTACTGGCTTAACATCATAATTACATAGTCTGAAAAGAGACTTGCTCAGCCTCTCACACATCCATTTAAATGTTTACTACCTCCATGATTGCAGTTGGACCCTTGTAATTGTGACTGGCTGCATCTTAACAGTATGGGACACATAAAGTCAGCATAACATGCAATACATAGTGTGCTGACTTTGTATGGCCACCAATATTCAAACAGATCTTATTGCATGGGGAAGGAAAGAATGCAGTATTTGATCTAAAGAAAGATGGAAGCATGGAGTGCAAAGAGCAGATTCGGTCCTGTAGAATGTGAATATTACATTAATGGAGGCTCACACACCCAGAAAAACAGTAGACATAAGGGTGTTATTTGCTTACCTGCACTGCTCTCCTAAACTGTCACAAACCTTTTCCTTTAAATAAGCCACATTCACTAATCAATTCATATGTATATTTTATTGCAACTGATCCTTTTTATGATACAGAAATGTAGAAATCCATGTTGTGATGTAAAGCCCCAAGTTGGGGGACTGGCTTCAGTAGATTCCAGGTGGAACATCTGAGATCTCTGTGCATAAGAGTGCAGTTCTTGAACAAGCTAAATTATTGCGCACAACCCTCAGATTGTAATAGAGAACCCAAGAATGAGGAGGTGCAAAAAAAAAACAAAAAAAAACTGTGGTGTGAGAAAGTCAACATTTTTAAAAATGACTCTCTCATCCCTCCCAGAAGTTTATCTATATCTATCTAGCTATAAATAATACATGTTCATTTTGCTTTAAAGCTCATCAGTTTCATGGCAGAGATATATCTATGCATCTACCTTAATTTGGAATTAGGTCTAAAAATGTACTTACCTCAAGAGAGTAGTGTAACGATGAGCTGGCAGGATGAAGCGAAAGATTCTGAAATGGCTTTATTTTGGGTTTTCCCCATCCCTTCTCACTGCTCCATTCTATTGCCAGCATGTGATCAGTAAACGTCTTTCCAAAAACCAAGTTTGCAACATCTGGCTTTTCTTTGGGGTGCTTGTTCAACTCAATTTGCAAGTCTGTTGCCTGAGGTTAAAGAAAAAAAATATATATAAAGGCTGTTAACAGTGGGTGGCTTGTTGCACACACACAAAAAAAAGTTTGCAATACAGGATCAAGAAAACCTTCCACAAACAAATCATATTGTAAAGGTAGCGTCATACAGAAAAAGAAAAATGCAATGAATCATCGATTAGAATGTATACATATAATCAGGGCCGGCACGTCCTATGGGGACTTATGCAGTCGCCTAGGGCGCACCAGCCTGGGGGGTGGGCGCAAGACACAAGTGACCCAGCAAGAGGGAAGCGCACAGCGCTCCCTCCTGCCAGTCACTCAGTGTAGCGTGGCTGGGCAGCACAGACCACGGTACAGGAGCTTCTATTCCAGTCAGTCTGTTTGGGTACAGGAAACAGAAGCTCCTGTACCACGGTCCGCACCATGCTACAAGGAGGAAGGAGGCACAACAGGGAAGGGAGGGGAGACAGCAATAAGGGACACTGATGGGGGAGGAGAGACCACTAAGAGACAGATGGGAGGGGGGGGAAGAGAGACCACTAACGGAACGAGTGGGGAAACTCTAAGGGACAGGGGGTGGAGGGAGAGCACTATGGGAACAGAGGGTGGGGGGACAGGGGAGAGCACTAAGGGTCAGGGAAAGCATTAAGGGTCAGGGGAGAGCATTAAGGGTCAGGGGAGAGCATTAAGGGTCAGGGGGAGGGGAGAGCATTAAGGGATGGGGGGCAGGGGAGAGCACTAAGGGACATGGGGCAGGGGAGAGCACTAAGGGACAAGGGGGAAGGGGAGAGCACTAAGGTACAGGAGGGCAGTGTAGAGCACTAAGGGGCAGGAGGGAAGTGTAGAGCACTAAGGGACAGGAGGGCAGTGTAGAGCACTAAGGGACAGGAGGGCAGTGTAGAGCACTAAGGGACAGGAGGGCAGTGTAGAGCACTAAGGGACAGGAGGGCAGTGTAGAGCACTAAGAGACAGGAGGGCAGTAGAGGGACAAGAGGGTAGTGGAGATCACTAAGTTGCAGGGGAGATCACTAAGGGACAGGTGGAGAGGGAAGATCACTAAGGGATGGGAGAGCACTAAGAGATAGGAGAGCAAGAAGGGACAGGAGGGGATAGGAGACCACTAAGGAACAGGGAGAGCAATAAGGGACAGGAGGGGAGGGGAGAACACTAAGGGACAGGAGGGGAGGGGACAGGAGGAGAGACCTCTAAGGGACAGGGGGAGAAGTGGAGACGAAACCACTAAGGGACGGTGGAAGTGATCATTAAGGGACCCAGAAACACACAATGCATTCCTTACACAGGCACTACATCCCTTACACAAACTGGTATCCCTATAAACTACATTTCATAAGAACAGACACACATCACATCCTCTACAATAACACATAACACATCCCCTACACACATACACTCCACTCCCTGTGAGCAAACTCATGGGTAGGCCATTTAGGCACACTCACGGTCAGGCACTGGGGGCCCAGACCGTGATTTGTGTAAGGGCCCCCCCAAAAATGGAGCTGCTTCCTGTAAGTTGATTTTTGTGAGCACTGCCTCTTTTAACACCAGACCAGTGGAGCCAGACTGCAGCCTGAACCCATCATCATCATCCTCTTGTCCTTATCTAGTGGTAAGTAGACAATCCAATATAATATTAGTGGCACTCATCTCTAATTTACCTCACATTAAAGAGACACTATAGTCACCTGAACCACTACAGCTTAATGTGGTGGTTCTGGTGTCTATAGCCTGTCCCTGCAGGCTTTTTAATGTAAACACACTGCCTTTTCAGTGAAAAGACACTGTGTGCAGCACTGGCGTTGGCTCATATGGCAGATCATATGGGAGGGGCATTGTGATGTCACATGGTGGGGAGAGCATATGGGGGGGTGGAGCGGCCCTGCAAATAATATACATTATGTTTAAGTTGCAAAACAGGAGAGGGATGATGGAATTTAGGAGAGGACAACTACAAGAAGGGGAATTAAATGTAGATGTGGTCTCTGTATAGATATGTGTTGCAGTATAATATAGTCTGTTACATGTAGAAATGTTTGATGCTCAAGGATCTTATTAGGTAAAATTGATAATCAAGTAGCAGAAAAGGTAATGCAATCTAGGTTTCCAATAAAGACAGAATTAGGAAAATTCAACATCAATTAAATATGAAATAAAAAGCTGTGGCTTTCATTGTTGGCACTTTATTAATAATAATAATAATAATAATAATAAGTTAAGCAACTACCCACTCTAAGCCTTCATGGAAATTAACTATAAGTTCACACTTTGTGTTGCTCTAGAACAAAACGGAGTTCTCACCTTAAATATAGTGCTTGCAGCTCTCCAGGAAACACAAGACCAATTCCGCTGTACAGCAAGGATTTTTCTGCCCCAAATCTATATACGGAGAGAAACAATAGAACATTAAATAATAACAAGAAAAAAAAAACTGTGCAGCTGTCTGCTAATAATTTATGGCCATTTTAGGAGCAATGAGGCACTCTCATATGATGCTGAAAATTACAGAATCTTCAATCTTTATGAAGGAAAAGTAAAATACATCTGCCTAAAAGTATGAGAGAAATATGCATAATAACTACACAGTCAGCTCAATTTCACAGCATAGCCTTTATGATTCAGTATAAAGCATAAGAAAGGGCTACAACTTACTTGAGCGCTAGCTAGCACTTAAAAGGAATACGGGTCTTTGTATAATATAAGCTTGCCTTGTTACCCTTGAATTCATAAAGGGTTATTCATAGAGAATTTAACATTTTTTTAGATTACCAAAACTAGAACATGCTTCTTAGATATTTCTTTCACTCTGGCTATTTTACCTTGAATTAACACATCACAGTGTACAGAAGAACAGGTAATCACTGATAAGCTATTTCTAAACTAAATCTAGCACAATGATGGAAAACAATTGTCTGTCTATTGATAATCGTAGATTTCATTTTATTTTATTTTTATAAATGGGAGCTGTATCCATATCATAAACCCTTGCCTAACAGAGGTTCATATGTTATGCAGATCAGCAGTCTTCATTCCTGGAAAAACATGAATGAGACTAGCCTAATACTAGGCACTGCCTGGTTTCTTTTAGTCGATTAAGCAACTCCTCTTACATATATTTTAATAGGTGCAGTACAGGTTCTCTCACACAGAGTTATAACCATCCATACAGGTTACTTACAAGAAAATGGCATGCATATGCTGTCTGAAGCTTTCACCATCAGAAGATAGCCAAGTGTTTACCTACAACTTCACATATGCTGTTTAGCGTCAGTTTTTGCGAATCAATATAGACATTATGGAGAAAGAGTGATGTGAAACTCCTTGCAACATAATAAGTACCCACAGGGTGCCTTTTAGGTAAAATGCATAATATGAAAACTATACGTTTTTGTATTAAATGGGTCTTTTCGAAAGGTGGTTGTGGTTTCAGAGTGAAAATGTATTAAATAAACAATGACCTGTTTTACTTTTCTTGTGTGTTAAAGAGCATGTAATATGACTGCAGAGTATATCTGAGTACACACACACAAAATGCATGTACATTAGCACTTAGGCTTTGTATATCAATCCAGAATTAAAAAATAATGTTGTTTTTGGCAAATCAACTCCCACTATCCTTGGTGTGACCAGTAAAGTACGATACGCAACAGAACATGCCACACATTTTATTTTACTTTACAAGCAAATAATTGAATAACATCCAATGTTAAATAAATAAATAAAAATTTAAAAAAAGAGATGATAGACTCCATAAATTCTCTTAATTGGCAACTAATGTGTCATAAGGTGTAAAACCGATAAGTATAAATAAAGAATCCCCTGTCGCCTATAAATGTCAACTCTAGTTGAAGTTAAGCGATTTAGAGCAGGTTTCCAGGAGGATTAACTGCAGTGCCATTAAACAGTCTTTAATTGTCATTCTAGCAGCACAGCAAGGTAACGAGCAACTGGCAGACTGGGTACAAAAGGCGAGGGGCCTCATTAGCATTTCTGCAAAACTCAGCTAAAATAATAGCGTGAGAAGCTGACCCTGTCTTACATGCTCCTCCTCAAGGTGGGCTGGGAAGGGACATTCCCCTTTTATAGCCAATCAGCCAGTGGACTATGTTGATCCTTTACACTGGCAATGGACTTTGGACCCTAAGAGATAGGAGATGTTAGTTTAGTGTTTCTGGAGGGAGGGGGATCATCTATAGCAGGATTGAGTCATGTTTGCATCTGTCTGGAATACACAGCACTGAGAATACCAATATCCAGAGTTTGTACTTTTTAAGTTATTGTATTTTTACACCTGGACACCTGATGTAGAGACCATTTTTAAGTCTCTGGCTACTGACACATCCATTTTTAAACCACAGAAGAAGCTTTACAGAAACCAAGAAGGTGAGTCATTTAGGATAAAAACCATATAAATAACAGATTGTGTGCTGGTAGACAATGACCACCTGGCCCAGATACTCTGGCCATTATGAAAACTCAGTTATTGCTTTTTTTTTTCTATTTTATGAAAGATTTGTGCACTCATCTTATATAATCTTGCATGAATTTATTCTATTACGAATTTACTTCTACAACTGAGAGTGGATTTTATGTATCCACTTGCATTTTGGAAAAGTACTTTTTTGATACACTAATCCTCAGTTTTCCATCATCCAAGTTTAGATTGTATGGAAAATGCAACAAGAATGTGTAAACATATATAGATAAGGAAAAATATATTCTGGGGTTTATTCACTAAACACCAAATATTATTGGATTGAAAATCAAATTACAAAAGTGGCTATTTAGTTCACTTTTGCATTTTTATTTTTCAATTCACTGCGATTTGGTGTTTATTGAATAAAACCCAATGTGCTGAATCAGAACTAGACAGTAGACATACTGTGATGCAACAGCTGATGTTGGAATACAACCCCCAAAATTCTCAGCAAGCCTCAGGAAAAGAAAAATAAGTTGAGTTGTAGTCTGAGCAGCTACCCTGTTTCCCCGAAAATACACCCTACCCCAAAAATAAGCCCTAGCCGGATTATCGGGGTGGGCTGCAATATAAGCCCTACCCCGAAAATAAGACCTAGGCATTGCACCTTTGCGGCCTGGCGAGACTTCCTTCTTCTACCGTATGAGGAGGGGGGGGAAAAGCGTTGCGGGCCGCGGCATCGCGCAACGTGATGACGACCTTTCGCAGCGCCGTCAGTCTGCCTTCACGGATCTTCAGCGGAAGGATCCATTTCCGGGCGGTGAGGCACCCAGTGGTCGGACTCGGCGGGCAAGGAATCTTTGAAATGTGAGTAGATATTTTATGTCTGGGACTGAATTAATTAAAGGGGGGGTGTGAATTAATTAAAGGGGGGTGTGAATTAATTAAAGGGGGGGTGAATTAATTAAAGGGTGGTGGATTAATTAGAGGGGGGTGGATTAATTAGAGGGGGGTGGATTTATTAAAGAGGGGGGTGGATTAATTAAAGGGGGTGGAGAAAAGTTGTTTAAATGTTGTTCAATGTACATACCGGTACCGTAAATAAATAAGCCCTACCCTGAAAATAAGCCCTAGTGTGTTTTTTGTGACTAAAATTAATATAAGACCCGGTCTTATTTTCGGAGAAACACGGTAGTCGTTTGTTGCAAGGAACTTGTGTAGGTATTTATACATTTTCATTATATATATTCTATAGTAAGATGTACTAATTGTAGTCCATTTAAAGTATTTGGCATTTTTGTTTAAAGCCTGCCTTTAAAATATCAGTATCTGCTAAATTCTACAACCAATGCATGTCAACCAACTGTGTAAGTACAAGTACACTCCGTCTAAAACTCTTCTTTTTTTTCTATTACGCAATTTTCTATATCAATGTGGCCACATTTGTGGCCTCACACTGTCTGATTAGATGTGCACAGCTGTTAATGTGAGCAAGGCCACAACTATAGAAAATACATACCTTCCAACATTTCAAATTGACAAAGGGGACACCTTCATTTTAGGGGTGTGAGTCTGGTTATGAAAATAATAATTTACGCAACTAAAATGTAATTTAGACCAAGAACAATGTATCTCATTTACAGTCTGATTTCTAAACACATTTATTGTAGAGTAAAGACATATTACTGTGAGTATTATTGCCGTGCTGCTCTGTGACACGCTCAGACACACCCACATTATGGAGCTTGTAGAAAAGAGGGACAGAGGGATTTAGGGTCAAAATAGGGACTGTCCCTACTAAATAGGGACACCTGGAAGGTATGCATATGTCACAGTCAAACATCCACTATAAACAATGTGATATAATCTCTATGTTACAGGGTATTCCTCCAACTAAAAGGTTTAAAAAGAACCCTGCATGATCTCCACATGCACACATCTGTGCACTGTATGATCAAGTGTGTGATTATCCAGGAGCAGTTCAGTGATATAATATGATGACAGAATGTCATGATTGGATTTGGCAGCAGAAATTTCCTTTTGGGAACCATCACATTATGTAGAATAATTGTAGAGTGCCCTCCAGTGTACATATTGGGAATATCTCTCGGATAAAGAATGTCATCAGGTGGAAGAATCATTCATACTTAAAGGGAAACTATAGTGCCAGGAAAACAAAGCTGAAAACAATAGCTCCCTATAGTGCCCACCTTCTCCCCCAGCCCCCTTCCCCGCAGTGTCCCTCTGCGCTGGCTCCAGTCTGCCTCTGCTCCTCAATTGGTCATGCTAGCTTTAGGATTTCCCCATAGGAAAGCAATATATTCAGTGCTTTCCTAGGGGGATTCCTGTGACGCTGGAAGTCCTCATGCATAGTGTAAGGACGTCCAGCGTCAGTTAGGTGACCAAAAGTCGCCAAACGATCCAGAAGTATTATTGTTTATTAAAAACTGCAAAAATTACCTTTCCAGGGTTAAGGGTGCTGGGACAAGCAACATTACCACTTTAGCACAATGTGATCGACTATTTTTTTCCTCATGTCAATCTACCTGCCTTTTTAATTCCACTATATGCCTCTACCTAAACTACACCATCTGCATCTGACAGCTGAAGGAATATCTCCTTACAATTGCAAAACAAAACAGTAACCATTAAAAATCAGGTTAATATGTTGGCTGTTTTTGATAAAAAGTGAAACCAACTGTTAAAAATATTACAGTTGTGTTTGTTTACAAAGAGGACACTGAGCACCACTGTCCCCTTTTTAATATGTCTTTACATTATGGTATTACTAGCCTTGAATATGCACTGGATATGTTACCATACATTAGGTCAGACTCCATCTGGGGAGCCGAAGGTTACCTACCCGTGCACTAGGACCGCCACAATCAGTAACATTCAGGCACCATTTATTTATAAAGCCAATACTGTCCACACATGACATGAATTAAGAAATACACTTTGAATGCTCACTTTTTAAATAACCCTGACTATTTTCCCCCTTTCTTTTTTTAAACAAGCAATCTTAGGGTAAAGTTCTAAGTGGTGCAAACACTATGGAAACCAATAAAATGTTCCTGCTAAATATTCTACATTTTGGACTTAGGCTCACATTTGTTATATTAAATATTATTATCAAACCATTTATTTAGCGCCAACAAATTCTGTAGCGCTGCACAATGGGATAAAAAGGAAAACTCCAATGGAGTCTGTCAAATTTATGACAGTTTATAAAAGGGCTGGTTTCAATAAAAATCAGCACTTTTATAATTTACGGCAGAAACAAATTCATGGCATCACTAACACAGCCAGGTAAGCTTTCTTCCAATTGCATTAGCATCACAGAGCTAACAGAAGCAAAAGCCGCACTGGGATAGACCGCTTCTGTCCCCCATCCCTCCCCATCTCAGTTGGCTGTACTACATTGAGAAGCATGGGAAAGCTGTGATTGTGTATATTAGCTCCTGCTAATATGAGACTGAAATCTGTGATGGGAAAAGAAGGGAGGGCTTACAATGGCTGCAGATAATGGATCTGCATGTTTTACAAGCTTTTTTTCGTATACCCCAAACAAAACATGCAAAAAAATAAAAACTACATGCATGTTTTGTTTGTGAAACACATTACTAAATTAAAAAAAAAAACAATCAATGGAGTGCTCCTTTAACAAAATAATAAATAATTTGGTATCAAGGCAAATACAATTACCATATTGAGGTTCAAACACCATGGAAACCAATTCAATGTCTATCAACATTTAGAACTTTGAACACAAAATAGTACCTCTTGATAACTTTCCTTTTTTGTGTTTATTGTCGACTATTAAATGTAAGCTTTGACTTTTATCAATAAAGGATGGAACTTGCAGGGTATTAATTAGTAATGAAGCCTGACATTCAGAGACCTATGGAGTAGATCTAGGTGTCAGCCTACACATATCCAACGGTGCTGAAGTTCCAATTAAGTACGGGATGCTTCAAGGCATGTAATGCTCTTTACCAGTGCAGAAGCAGGCAGCAGATTGGAGTAGAACCCCCTGCATAGGAATAGGAAGTTTATTGAGAAGGGGCATTCAGTATTTATGGGATAGAAGGTACACTCATGTAATATTGTAAAAGAGGGTGCTCAACCAATATACAGGCGCTAGGACAGAGGGAAGTGATGCTAAATTAGGAATTAATCAGGTGGGGAAGAAAAGTAATCATATAGTGTTGGAGAAAGAGATTGTTCTGTGTATGAAGCATTTTAACCCCATTATGGCATGCAGCAAATTCTTCTATACTGCGATATTACTGGCAAATTACATGCAATAATGGGTCAAAAAAGGCAGTAAAGCTCTCTTAGTTGTTGAGATATTAAATCAGTCTAAAACAATGGCTTGGATCATAGATAACATTAGCATTGGAAATCTCAAAAGTGCATCTTTGATGCACTTTGGTAGTAAGTCCTCATGGTGGAGCTGTTTCCATAAACTCAGTCTTCATTTCCTCTAGGTTAAGCATGTCAAACTCAAAATCTTCATTTCCTCTAGGTTAAGCGTGTCAAACTCAAAAGGCTAACAGGGGCCAAATAAACAAGGTTTAAGTTTATGTGGGCCGCAAAAAAAATAAAAAATAAAACTTCAGTTTTCATAGAAACAAAGGTTTATTTAGAAAAGTACAGTATAAAAAGTTGCCTGACACTAGATGTCCTCACGCTCGAAGGGCTTCAAAGTAAATAAAAGAGCTAATTTATTTTAAGGAGACATGCATTTGCATATAACCAATGTTTCAGTCCAACTACCATGACATATTAAGAAAAGTTTAGTAATGGGACTGAAATGGTGAATGTATGCTTTTGCACAGCTGTAAAAAAAAACTAATTATTTTATCTTGTTGATTTTGAAGTCCTATGAGTGTTCTTCACTTTGGCTGAGATCATCAAACTTGATGATCTCAGCCAATCCAATGCTTTCCTGTAGGAAAGCATTGGAAGGCTATTGTGCATGTGTGGCAAAAAGAGCATTCAGCACCTCCATGCAGACCTAATCTAATACACTGCCGCCTCCCCCCATTCTAGTACACTGCCCACAAATCCAATACATTGCCCTCCTCAGTCCATTCTAATACATGGCCCCCTCCACTCAATCTAATACACTGCCCTCTCCCCCCATTCTATTACATTGCCCACTAATCCAATACATTGTCCCCCTCCTCCACTCTAATACACTGCACCCTCCACCTAATATAATACACCGTCCTCCCCCAATTTAACACACTGCCCCCATATCACTTAAATACACTGCCTCCTCCTTCCCCAATTTAATACACTGCCTCTCCCTCCCCAAATTAATACACTGCTCCACTCCATCCCCCAATTTAACACACTACACAGGAAGGTCCCCCAAGCCCCTCTTCTCCTACCTTAAGATGAGCCACCCATTCTTCATTCCAGTTCTGCTCTTCTCTGCAAGCAGGCCAGACGCTCCTCTGGCACTGCTAGCAAGAGGGAGGGGGGGTGACTGGCCTGATCTGCAGACAGACAGCCACTCTGCCCTTTTGTGGCCGTGGGAGGAAAGACAAGAAGTAGACAGGAAATATCTTTAATGTTTTGCGGCTGGTCGCAGCCACAGTACAAAGCGGCACCAGGGCAGATGGGCCGCTAGTTTGACATGCTTGCTCTAGTTAGTATGCAGCAGTCTTATGATATTGGATAAATGGAAAAATGCCTTGAAAAATTACTCAGCTGAATATTGTAAATACTCCTTAAAATATGCTAGATTTTTGTGTTTTCTAAATGTTTGCCACATTACAGTCATGTGTCTAACAAACGGAGCATCTCCTGTTGTCACAATCAGTTGGTGGTAAACCCCACTAAGTACATAACCTTGTGCAATGTTCAGGCTCAATCAATTTTAGAAATTACAGCTCTTAATTTTTCAGTGGTTTTTAATTGTTTGCAGGGTTAAGTCCATCTCTAGTAGAGGACACACTGATAGCCACTAAAGGCACTTCTGCGTCACTCACTAAAGGCTTGCCTCTTTACTCCTCACCATCACAGTGGCGGTGTTGAGGAGAGGTAAAGGTCAATATATTTTTTTTTGTTTCACACTATTATCTCTACCACCACTCTAGAGGTTCTTCCTAGTCCAGTGCTCCATAGTGGGCAGCACATATGTTCAGCTGAACGCCCTAGTAAAGATGCATTGATTCAATGCATCTCTATGAGGAGTTGCTGATTTGTGCAGAGTGTTTTGCCGCGCATGCACAATAGCCTCCCAATGCTTTCCTATTGATGATCTTGGCCTAGGGAGACTAGGACCGTAAGAAAGAAAAATGTAATCACCTTTTAACTCCACAGAGAGGTGGACTGGGGACATAAACATGTATTCCAGCACTATATGGGTCAGGAATACATGTTTGCATTCCTAATACTATAGTGCTCATTTACAGCAAGTTTATATGCAATATGGAAAATCTAACACAACATGAAAAAAATAAACATTCATACAGGGCCAGTGCAAGGATTTTTGCCGCCCGAGGCAAATAAAAATTTGCCGCCACCAACCCCCCTCCCCCCAACGTGACATCACAATGCCCCACCTATATTATCTGCCATTTGAACCAACCCCAGTGCTGCACACAGTGTCTTTTCTCTGAAAAGGCAGTGTGTTTAAATAGAAAAGCCTGCAGGGACAGGCTATAGACACCAGAACCACTACATTAAGCTGTAGTGGTCCTTTAATGTGAGATAAATTAAAGATTAGTGCCACTAATAATATACTGGATTGCCTACTTACCACCAGATGAGGACAAGAGGATGATGATGGGGTCAGGCTCCAGTCTTGCTCCACTGGTCTGGTGTTAAAACAGGCTCTCTGGAGGCAGTGCTCACAAAAATCAACAAACCGGAAGCAGCTCCATTTTTGGGGGGCCCTTACACAGATCATGGTCTGGGCCCCTAGGGCCAGAAAGGCCCACCCATGAGTGTATGTGTGTAGGGAATGTGTTATTGTAGAGGATGTAATGTGTGTGTGTTCTTATGGAATGTAGTGTATAGGGATACCAGTTTGTGTAAGAGATGTAGTGCGTGTGTAAGGAATGCATTGTGTGTTTCTGGGTGTATGTGTAAGGGATGCAAGGTGTCTTTCTTTGTATGTAATGTAATGCAGTGTGTGTGTGTCTTTCAAGCGACTCTGTGTGTCTCTCTCCTGAGCCCCTCTGTGTGTCTCTGTCTCCCTTACCAGCCCTTCTGTGCTTCTCTTTCACCCTTCCTCAGCCTCTCTATGTGTCTTACACTGCCCCGTTCTTTAGTGGTCTCATCTCCACTTCTCTCCCTGTCCCTTAGAACTCACCCCTCCCCTCTTTTAGTGTTCTCCCCTCCTGTCCCTTCCTGCTCTCCTATCCCCTCCTGTGCCTTTGTGCTCTCCTATCCCTTAGTGATCTTCCCTCCCCACCTGACCCTTAGTGATCTCCCCTGCCCCCCTGACTCTTAATGCTTCCCCTGACCCTTGCTATGCTCTCCCTACCCCCCCCTTCCCATCCCCCATCCCTTGTGAATTTCCCTCCCCCATCTTTCCCCTTTAGTTGTTTCTCCTCCTTCCCCCTCATCTGTCCCTTAGTGGCCTCTCCTCTCCTACCCTCCAGTGTCCCTAGTTTAAGATATTTTTATACTTTGAAAAATTCATTTTAAACGTTTATTCAAAAATATAAAATAATTTGAAAAGCTTCCAAACCTCTTCCTATCTCCATTAACAGCTTGTTACATTTAGTAATACTAGCATGATATACATAATTCTAGGAAATGTGACTTACTGTTACTGTATTAATTAATCGCAAGAATCCAGAGTTTAATGCTGACATTCCTTTAAAATAAAAAACAAACATTTTCTGGACTTCATTCAACTAATTACAGCTCTGAACTTATTGTGTTTGTGGGACACTTGAAATTAACGTTCCAAATCCCTAGAGTTTCTTTTCTTTCTCAAACTTTAAAATTGCCCATTTCCAGAGAAATCAGCACTTTTCGAAAGCTCCTAGGTTAAATACTTCTGCCTATCAAACAGCAGGGTGTGTGCTCTTTTTTCAAGCATCTTTGAGTGGTTCCTAATAGAAAAGGACTGATTTCAATGGCTGAATAGTTTTAAGCGCAACATTGTGATGGTTGCACATGTGCCCTGCCTCCAAATGCTTTAAAGGTTGCTTGAGGCAGATTTGTTTAAAAATAAATAAAAATCATGGTGCATGTGTGAGAGTACAACATGCCTATGGATGAAACCGCAGAAGCCTCTATAGACAATACCATTTTCTGCTAGGGAAAATAACAAAACTTGACTGCAGTAGCTCCAGATCCAAATGAATTCCTACTTTGTCTCAGTATCTTTTTTGACTGGGATGGAATTTCAGTAAAATTCCAACACAGTCAGTTTTAGCATTTCATAAAGAATTTATCGTTATGAAATAGTGTTTTATTTGGGGGTGGGGGGAGAGGGGGTGTTGACAGAGCTTTAAGGCTAAACTGGAAAAATTCTACATTCAAATTCTCCCAATTTGGCTATTATTGCCTAAAATTTGAAATTCAGTCTCAATTTCCAGCAATTTTCACTTTAGTCAATAAACCTTTTAGATTTCACATTTGGTGGCATTGCCATTTATTAAAGCGGTTTAATCCAAAACCATTGCCGTTGACAGTTCTCCTAGTAGAGTTGAGCTGAGAAATAAGTATAATTTTTGATAATATCCTATAAGATTGCTAGAACACAAACTCCGAATGTGTCCTCAAGGCAAAGAAAAGTAAAAAACCATGTCTGGTTTACATTCCATCCCTAGTATGCTCAAACTAGTAAAACCAGTTTTGCTGGACCCTGTGTACTTTGCAAGCATGAACAAAGGGAGTTCAAGTCTTTCCAGGACACCATTGAATAGACTTATTTGATATGTAGACTACAATAAATGATTATACTCTGATTTTAATGTGTGTTGTAAGCTTTCCAACCAACAGCAAAAATATACATTTTATTTGGTGTACATCCCTCTTGTAATTAAGGACATACTTTCATATTTCTGTTTTTGATGCTTACTAATTCTGCTAAATTGAGACCACATTGACTTTAACAGGAAATGAATTAGAAAGGGTTTTTTCAGCAAGTTCTTTTTTAGAATGTATTCTAAATGACATTTGACGCACCTTGCAAGTTTGAACATGGAGTATGCCTCAATGAATTTAGTATCAAAATAAATTTGATTATTACATGCCATGGGTGTACAGAAACTATAGTATTCAATAATATACTGTCACCGTTTGGTTTATTTATTTATATACAATCTACTCTTGCAAGCATAGAGCATGGTAAAAATTTCCAATGATTTCACTCGTGTTTCCAGGGAAATCACAATGCTCTATGCATATCGACACTATGCCATACCTCCAAAGTTTGCAATGGAGGGGAATTAGAATGGGGGCAACCTGCGACACTGGCAAAACCCATAAGTAGGAGTCTGCCCACTGAAGCTTGACACCAGACTCACAGACAGCCTCTCGGCTGGCCTGATATGTAGATGACCCTGAGTCTTCAGCAGTGCTCTCAGCACAGTCCTAGTGCCTGATACACAGCACCTTTAGGTGTCCCAAGGCCCCACTAGAGAAAATGTCTGTTTTGTTCATCCAGTGGTTGGTTGTTTTTTTTTTTTTTGTGTTGTGTATATTTATTTGTACATGTTTTAACGCAACAAAAAGGTGTCACTTTTTAATGAATAAATGTATATATAATGAAGAAAATGTATATATCTGGCAGAAGCCCAGCACTTGATGTTTATCTAAAGTCAATGCTGTTCATGACATTGGTGACTATGACACAATAAAAGAGGTCAATTAAATCAATACTTAAAAGAAAACTTTCCAGTTTGGAGGCTACCAATTTTCAATGTATTATACAGGTATATAAAATGAAAAAATAAAAAAAAAGTGACAAGCTAACCTTGGACACACCATTATTTACAATGGGCACACCTTGCATTTTCGATAATATCCTACTTGGCAGAGATTCATGAGTAGTTTAGCACTCTAGAGCAGTTCAAATAATCAGAAACACACTTTAATCAAGGCCACACAAAATATGTTCTTGATGGCTGGATAGTGCATATTATTCGGTAAGGTGCATGGTTACTGGTAAAATATTTTATAAATAAATAACTCATTCAAGTTTCTTTGTATTTTGGAAGGGCAAATCATTCATAATGAATGGTTAAATTTCGTGTTTTGCAATTTATATATTTAATTTATTTCTTTTTCAAGCAGGCTGATGACTTCAATGAGCAGATTTTGTTTTAACAGCCCAGTTAAATTATAAATTCTCGTTTTGAATGCTTTTGGCTTTAGGACTCAGTGCTAAGATGACCTTGTGTAGCAACCTTCCTCCTGTAGCCTTTGAAACTGGTTTTGCTTGGAGATAGTAGTCATAATTTACAGTTTAACAGTACTGAAGAATAGAATATGTGACAACCTATAACTTAATTATGTTAATTGGTATATTGAACATGTTAATGCTTGTACTGATTAAAATTAGTGTTTAATCACATTAAAATGGATTAGGAGTTTATTAAACATTTAAATATTGTAATCTGAAACAAAATTGGAACTTTTAGGTCATAACTGTGCAATACTTACAAAACACTGGAAAATTAATGATAAAATCATTAACATATGGGGTTTATTCACTTTTCAGGTTATAAAACGTGGAATGAGCCAAGTTCCTATTGAATACACACAACTTGGATTTGGATAAAAAGGTACTCAAGCAGATTTGTTTCCCTAAATAGAGTCCAATTGACTTTAAATGGTACTCTGCTAGCACCACTGAACATTTTTTTTATTGAATGTCTGTATATTCTGTAGTTTAATTTAACATTAAAATGTGTAAAACTGGGAAATTAAACACGTGTTTGTTTGTTTTTACTCATAAAACATACATTATGGTTGATCGCTATTAATTTGGTAAGTCCACTTGCACAAAAAGACTAATGGGACATTAATTGCTCATTTATTCTCATTATCATCCTGTACATTATGGATATGATGCATGCAAAATCAAACACAGATGTAACTCTTTGGTTGCCATAGATGCAACAAGAGATGGCTACTGTAAAACTAAAACTTCAGTCATTTTCAAGTAAACCTAGAAAAACTGTAGCTTGGCTTTGGCACTACAACAGTTATAGAAAACCATTCAAATGATGAACAATCAGTTGTTCAGTAGGCCACAACCACTTGCCAATGTCTAGTCATCACAGCCCTATAGGAAAGTACTTGCAGCAAAGCTTGCAAGATATCAAGACTATGTGGGTGTTAAGTATAAAAGGTTTGCTTTCACTTTTGTGCATGTACCATATTCTTTTTATTTATAAAACGGTTATGCCCTTCGTACATTTTTTTCCTCATTTGCCCTATTGCCCAAAAAAATATCTCTTTCCAATTTTTATTTCTCTTTTAGATATTGTGCACTTTTTCTACCCTCTTGATTATGTTCACAAAATAAGACAACAAAAACGTAATTCTGGCTGGAAGGAAAAAGGGAGCATTTACAATTTTAAACACTTTTATATATATATATTAAAAGGAATGTGAATTTTTACATAAAATAACAACAACAACAAAAAAGGTGCAATAAGAATAGTTTAGTGCAAATAATGCAAAACTCTTATACATAAACCCTGTATTTAAGGGATTTTGGAAGTGTGACTGATTCTACTTTGTCTGAATTTGATTGTCAGTTTTCCCCACTTACATAGGTAAATAGCACATGCCTGGCATTCAGAGGGAGTTATAAATATATATATTTTTTTTAGATATTAAAATATAAAAACAAACCCTCTCCAACAACACTCTCTTTTATATATTGTGAATACCAGTCTTATAACCATCAATAATGGGAACGAACCGCTCCATTGTACATCTCCATGATAGGGAGTACAGATATGGCTGGCTGAGCATGATAGGAGCCCTCATCCACCGTTACTAAAGTTATCCATTAATGGACTGGCAGATTAGATTCTTACACCAGTCCTTAAAGATGCCCGTGGAGAGCGCTGGGTTCAGATTGCTCCCTCCTCCCCTCCAGCAGCAGCCTATCCACAAAAATATCGGGGAATGTGGAGCCTGCACCCCCTTTATATTGCCAGGACTCACCATCACCCCGGATAAAGCTGATCCCGCTGCCATGGTTAACGTGCACCCCTCTCGGTGAGCCGCGGACTGGCACTAAAGGTTCCGGAGAGCTAAAGGTTCCTACCCGCCTGAGAGTGAGCAGAGACTGGAGAGCTAACTGCAGGCGGGGCTTCCACATGTATGTAACCCTGTGCAGTGTGAGGAGAACATGCTACACCCCATCTATTCATATGCATGTAAATACTGCCAAGAATGGAACCACTCCTTACATTCTACTTGATTGATAAACGTACTTCAGGTCAAAGAAGATTCTTTTCAATGTCAGATAATATCAGAGTGTCTCTTAAGGTGTTAATGTGTTTATCATTTTGAGCTTTGAATGTGTTTTTTTCTACAAGAAGTGCAAATGCATTCCCTGATGTCACACAGCAGTGAGATGAGAAAACAATATCAGTTACATCCCCATTACCCAAACCTTACAGGTGCTGATCCTGTGTCTGCTATATAGTAATAACCTGTATTATTATTATCATCAAAATCATCGTGATAGAAGGCACAGGGATACACATTGTTTAAGCAGATATGCATGTCATTAACGCATTATAGGGGGACATTCTTCATTCGTCAAGGGAAAACCGGTGCTGTTTGGGTGCACCGTGCACAGTGCTAAATGTTGAAGGGCATTAAAATGGTTTCTATGGTGATTGCTCAATTTTAGGGCTTTGCTCCTTAATAACAATTTTGTCTTGATAAATCTATCCCAAAGTTGTATAAAAGAAAATAAACGCGCTTTTCGTTGTGGAGAAATTGCTCAGTTCATCTATATTCTATATAATCTATAGCATGGCTTTCTGATGGTTTTTGTATCAACCCCCATGGGTGTAAAGCACGAGCAATGTAAATACCACTACACAGGACAGCTTAACACGTGGCGCTTTCTAAGTGATAATAATATTAAAACTGCACAGCTGAATCTGAGTGGTGATCATGTTTGCACACGTTGCATGCCTGATAACCATGCTGTGCCCTTGTGTTAGCATTCCCCTGCCCAGGAGACAAAAGAATCCTTGATATACAGCATGGAACGCTGAGCAATCCCTGGTGTCAGTCTCCTCCAATCATCATCGTGGAATGTTACCCGCCTCCTTGAAAAACCCAAACACACACTAAGGCGCGCATGTGATAGAACACCATCGCTGTTAATATATTATTACTGTAGCCAATGAGTTGTCTGCAAAGGCTCACGCCTCCCAGCATGTGATCAGCTGAAGATGAAATGTAACACCAGGAAAATGGTGTGTGATGTGTTGTGATGCAGATAGGTTAAAGGAGGTTGGTACAAAAAAAAAGGTGTGTTTCTTACCCAATGACATTACAAGGAGACTCTCTTTTAACTCTCTGCTGACTACAATGTGCATGCTTTATCTGATCATATTATGTTTAAATGGAAAAGTACAATATAAATATATATATATATATATATTTTATATAGTGAGAACTATCACAGATATAGAAGATAGGAGTACTGCAAACTGTAGCATTTGACTTCTACATAATGCAGGGTAGCACTTTTGATATAGTGCTAAAGTTTGTCAAAGTGATTTGTGTACTTGGCACCCCGACTGGGTACCTCCGTTGAAGGATGCTCCTAGCGCTTCCTGAGGGCTCCAAGCACCCCAGCCAAACCAGCAGATGAAACACGTGGGGAACAGTGCAACAAACGAAGGGAATCATAAAAAATATGGACAATAGTCATATTTGTGCATAATCTCCAGTTTTGTAACAGGGTACAAATAGTGTTTTCAAATGCCATATATCCCAGGGCCATAGTCAGATGGCAAGAGGCTGGCAATCAGTCCTCTCCAATGCCCAGTGGCAAATAGCAGTTTGTCACAGTACTGATACATATGGTGGGTATGGATAGTATCAATACTCCAGGAAGGTACTTTATTGTGAAGGATTTAAATGAAGGGTGTCCAAAAGGTATATCCCCCAGATGTTTGAAAACTACAGCTTCCATGATGTTTTGTCATTCTAAAGGCATGCAGAGCATCATGGTAGCTGCAGTTCTGCAACATCTGGGATTCTACCTATTGGGCTGGGCACCCCTGATTGTAATGCAAATGCTACATTACACTTAAAGGGACACTAAGCACCAAACCCACTTTATCTTAATGAAGTATTTTTGGTCCATAGCCACATTCCCTGAAGTTTGTCAATGTAAACATTACTGTTTTGTAGAAATGGAACACCTCTACTAGCTTGTCAGACTGAGCGCCATTAGAGGAGCTTCCTCGCTGAAGAGACCGTAGACCAAAACGGATGTCTGGGTGACCAGCAGAATAGGGGAGTACACAGCGCTCCCTTATGGCCAGCCACTCCATATAGAGTGGCCTCGCGGACTGAGGTAGAGGATCTTATTTTTCCTCTATCCAGTCCGACAGGAAGCCGGGAGCAGCAAGTAGAGATTATAAAAGACCACTACCACAGTCCACGAGGCCACTCTACAACAGGTGGTAAGAAGGCACTCAAGGTGGGAAAGTAGGAGGTAAGAGGGGATAAAGGTACGTCGGGGAAAAGGATACACACAAAAGGACTGGGGAAATAACAGACACAAAGGGGGGAGTAAAAGACACACAAGGTTTGTCAGAGATACCCAAAGGGGAAAAAACACACTAAAGTGGAAGTAAGACACAAAAGGGTTAAGACTTTCAAAAGATGGGATAAGAAAAAAACACAAAAGGAGGTAAGAAATTTAAAAATGGGGGTTAATAGACACACAGATGAAGATGCATGGTGGAGGCTGAAAAATGTATCTTCACCCATGCAGCCAAAAATCCAGGCACCTGCCCTGTAAAGATCATTGAAATTATAGGTCTTAAAGACTCATTGTCGTCACACACATAGGCGTGCGCACGGGGTGTGCCTGGGCACACCCTAATCCCCGTGGCACACCTATGGAGTGCAGAGCCGGACTGGCCCACAGGGATACCGGGAAATTTCCCGGTGGGCCGGCACACATATATTTATTTAAATATATCAATGCGATAACCCCCCCATACACACTACACCCCCCCCCCCACACACATAAACAGCACCCCTCCACAACACCCCTCCATGCACACAGAACCCCTCCACGCACACAGCACCCATTCACACATAAACAGCACCCCTCCACGCACACAGAACCCCTCCACGCACACAGCACCCCTTTATACACACAGCACCCCTCCACACATAAACAGCACCCCTCCACAACACGCCTCCACGCACACAGAACCCCACCATGCACACAGCACCCCTTCACACCACCCCTCCACACACACAGCACCCCTTCACACACACAGCACCCCTCCACACAAAACAGCACCCTCCACACACAAACAGCACCCCTCCACACATAAACAGCACCCCTCCACAACACGCCTCCACGCACACAGAACCCCTCCACGCACACAGCACCCCTTCACACACACAGCACCCCTCCACACATAAACAGCACCCCTCCACACACAAACAGCACCCCTCCACGCACAAACAGCACCCTTCCACGCACAAACAGAACCCCTTCACGCACACAGCTCCCCTCCACGCACACAGAACCCCTCCACGCACAGAGCTCCCCTTCACACACACAGCACCCCTCCACACACAAACGGCACTCTCTCCACACACAAACGGCACTCTCTCCACACACACTGTACCCCCCCACACTAAACCGCTACACACACTGCACCCATTCCAAATACATACCGTGCCCCTACACACACAGAACCCCGACACACACTGCACTCCCCACACACTGAACCCCTACACACACTGAACACACACACTGCACCCCTCACTGCAGTCTGTGTGTGTGTATTCACCAGTCTGTGCGCGTTCACCAGTCTGTGTGCATGTAATCACCAGTCTGTGTGTATATTCCACAGTCTCTATATGTGTGTATTCAGCAGCCTGTGTATATATTCAGCAGTCTCTATATGTGTGTATTCAGCAGTCTGTGTGTGTTTTTTGCGGTTTGTGTGTATTCAGCAGTCTGTCTGTGTGTGTAAGTATTGTATTTGTTGGAGGTACCAATAAATATAAGCCTCATTTTATTGATAATTTATATTTTTACTCCTTTGAGTGGTTGCGTAGTCAGGGCCCCAGTGCATTGGTTTGCCCACTGGGCTATTATGCTGTTACGATGGTCCTGGTCTAGGGTGTGTGTGTGCTCTGATGATCATGCTCCTACAAAATGTAAATGAAAAGACACTAATTTGAGTACCAGGAAGGGGATGAGCTGTAACAGCCATTTCTGGCCAAGAAGAGGTTAAAGACTTATGTATTTCTCTGGGGGGGTTTTTGGGGGTTAGCGATTTTTTTTTATCACTAATGGGTGTCCCATTTTTATATTTTCAAAATCTGGTCACCTTAGACACATGGAAGGTTGGGAGGGGCATTGGGACACATGGAGGGCTGGGAGAGCTATAGGGACACATGGAGGACTGGGAGAGAGGGCTAATAGGACACATGAAGGGCTGGGGAGTAAAAAAGACACACAGAGGTGTGTGGGAAAGAGACAGACGGATTGGGAAAGGGGAACAGGAGACACACAGAGGAGCTGAGGAAGACGAACAAGAGACACACAGAGGGAGTGGGGAAGGAGAGAATGAGACACACAGAGGAGCTGTGGGGAAAGATACAAATAGAGGTGCTGGGGCCTGGGAAAGAGAAAAAGGGGCTGGGACTGAGAGACACGTGAAAGGGGATTGCTCTCCCTGTAACTCAAAGTCGGCTGGTGAGAGAAAGACGTGATATTAAAGGGACACTATAGTCACCAGAACTACTACAGTTTAATGTATTGGTTATGGTGTCTATAGCCTGTCCCTGTAGGCTGAGCACTGTAAATGCTACCTTTTCATAGAAAAGGCAGTGTTTACATTGCTGCCTAGGCACATCTCTAGTGACAGTCACTCAGACGACCACTAGAGATGCTTTCTATTCCAGTGCTGCACATTGTGCAGCACCTATGTTGAGCATCTACACTCTCTGCATGGAGGTCCTGAACGCTCCCCGTAGAGATGCAATGATGCAATGTATCTCTGTGAGGAGATGCTGATTGGTGCGGTGAAGCACATCGTTTTGCCACACATACGTAATAGCCTCCCAATGCTTTCCTATGGGAGATCATCCAGTTGTTGGCCAAAGTGAAGAGCACACTCGTTAGTTCAAAATGAGCAAGATAACATAATTTTTTTACTGCTGTGCAATAGCATACATTCACAATTTCAATCCAAATGACCAAACATTTCTTAATATATCAAGGTAGTTGGACTGAAACATGGATTATATGCAAATGCACGTCTGCGTTTGCTTACAATAAATCTGCTCTGCTTTATTTCGAAGCCCTATAAGTGTTTGAGTGATAGTCTTCAGTTTTCAGTTTTTTTCCCGCTTCCATATCTGCGCACCATGCTGGCGCGATGCATTACGGGGCTGGTATGGAATTTTTTTTCCAGGGCTGCTTTTCATTCCCAGTCCGGCCTTGATGGAGTGAGACCAGCGCCGGCTCTGCTCTCAGCTTCCCTCCCCACTGACACACATGCATGGAGGGAGGCAGGAGAGGACCCGGGGAGCTCAACCAGCAGCTCAGCCGGGTTCCTCTCGCGAGTTCTGAGCGTTGCCGCGGCAACGCTCAGATTTCGCGAGAGTGAACTCTAGCCCCACACGGGGCTAGAGTTCACTCTCCACTGGACCACCAGGGAAAGCAGCAAGAACAAGAATCCCCCCTTCCTACATAAGGTAAGAAGGGAGGGGGGATATTAAGTAATGTACCCCCACCTCCACCCACACAATCACCCACACACATACAGCACACAGCACCTACACACACACAGCACCCACACACACACATACAGCACCCTTACACACACAACACCCTCAAACCACCCTCATGCAGCACACACACACACACACAGCAGTGTATGCATGTGTGTGTGTGTGTGTGTATATATATATATATATATATATATATATATATATATATATATATATGTGTGTGTATGTATATATATATATATATATATATATATATATATATATATTTATATAAAAAAACAGATAAAATTCTTATCTTGTAATACCTTTTTTATTGGACTAATTGGACAGAATTTTTTAATGACAAGCTTTCGGGAGAACCTCCCTTTCTCAAGTCTTTCTCAAGAAAGGGAGTTTCTCCCGAAAGCTTGTCATTAAAAAATTATGTTAGTCCAATAAAAAAGGTATTACAAGATAAGAATGTTATCTTATTTTTACATCTACATCACTGGACTAATACGGCTACAATCTCTACTTGAACACTATATATATATATATATATATATATATATATATATATAAAACACAACACACAACACAATCTCATAAGAGCAGACATTAGGCTATTAGTGTAGGACCTGCCAAAGATGGGGTACATTGACGTTGTGGCATGCTTATGCAATGTATGATCATATAATGTAACTAAACCCCCATTATTTTTGCCTAGATTAGGTGTTTTTAAAAAAACTAATAAAATCTTTCAACATTGAAGTTGCTGTTTAGTGGATAGGTGAGTGCGCTGGATCTTGTGTTTTGTATTATTTGGCCCCCAGCAGCACCCCCATTTATGCATGTTCAGGTGAGTGCAGCCAACCCCCCCTTGTTTCATATATATATATATATATATATATATATATATATATACACACACACACACACATACATATACACGCGGTGTGTGTTTGTGCTTTAGGGAGCACACCCTAATGCAATAGGCTGCGCACGCCTATGGTCACACATAGCATGATGATGCCAAATGCTGTAAATGCATTGTTTTTAACACTTTCCATTGAGACACAGCAGGTTGGCAAAGATTGATTGGCTGTAGTTCCCAAGATATCACCATGGTCTACCAAGAGGAGTCTGTCATGATGCTGGATTACAAGTGTACAAGTGAGTTTGAATGCTTTTCTAATTTTAAAAAGAGAGGGTCCTAATCTAAAAAAATTAGAAATATGTTTATATTGAAATTGAAGATGCTCTTTTAAAAGATTCAGAGGTAGATTAAGAGATAAAACTTGAGTCTTCTAAGCCTGTGAATTAATATTGCTGGTGCAGGAAAGCTATATCACTAATGAGGCACTGGACCGTCAGCAACCGAAGGAACCCATTTTTGTTTTTCTTTAAACTTCTTCTGGCACCATAACCACAATAGCAAGCTGATGACCTCAATTCAGATTTTGAGAGCCTTGTGATAAATAATCTGTGTTTTCTCGTGTTATGACTAGATACTATGATGACCTTGAGTAACAACCTTCCTCATACAGCCTTTAAAACTGGTTTTGCTAGGATAGATTAGGTATGTATTTTAACGTTTAACAGACAGGAACAATGGAATGGAACACATGATAACCAACTACTTTCACTTGTGCAACATGATAGATTTGAAATAAAGATAATGAGCTTAAAAATATTTGTAGTTTGCATCTAACAAATAGAAACATTAATGCTTTTAAGAATTGGCATTGTTTACATTTTGCAATGCATGTGCAGAGTGCCACATCGGAGGTTCAGAAGCAATATATTTAAATCATTGAATCTGTCGTCTGGTGTCAGCATACATAGTACAAGCATTGGATTGAATGCTTCTTATAAAGAAGTGCTGGATTGGCGGATTGCAGTGATTGCCAAGCACGCGCCATGCATCCTCATTGTTTCTCAATGAGTAGCATCTGACCGAGTAAGTCATCAAGAAAGAAGACCTTATTTGAGGAATATAAAACTGCCGTGACAATACTATCTTGTTGCTGGAATAGAGGTAGGTTAAGGACTTTTTAAGTTAAAAAAAGTTGTCCAGTAATCTAAACAGGCAAAGGAATCCATCTACTAAAAATATATACCTATTTTTATTAGTCTTTCATTTAAAATGGTTTAAAGCTTTATACAGCTTTATATTGAATAGCAGGCCTCCCAATTATTCAGATTTCAGGAGGGCAATCACGATTTTAGGGTCCTTTCCCGCTATCCTGGGTTTCTTCCCTGGTGTTCCATTTCTAGGGAAACCAGGGAACCCAAAAATTGTGGCATGCTCATGCTGTATTCAGGGCACTAAGACCATGCAGTAAGCACTGAAACTATGCTCTCTGTATGTCCTGGTTTTATCAATGGCTGGCCTGCTTGATTGGCAGGCAGCCGGGCATGTATTCACACCAAACTAAGCCTGCTCTCTCCCCGCCCCTCCCCTTTTCTGGCTACACCAGTGATGTGATTTGTTATTGGCCCGCCTCCTTTATCCCTTTCCACCGGCATCCAAATTCCCAGGACACTGATGTTGGGATCTATAGAATAGTGAAATGAATGAAAGTTTCTCGGATAAAATAGTTACACTAGAAAATGTCTGCAACTCAGCAGTCCAGTTCAACTATTGTGTCCTTCATTTTGCAATTCAGTTATCAATTCACTGATTAGTAAATTAACCCCATTGTCTATTTGTATGTAAAATAACAGCATTGCTGTATACAACACCTAATTTTTGTAGTAAAATTTAATTTACAAGATACACATTCAAAACCAATTACCTCTCTTTTTCAAGACAAAAAGAATACAAGTGATAAAATCATTAACAGATGGGGTTTATTTGTATTTCAGGACATAATCCGAGTGAGTCAAGTTCATATTGAATACACATGGCTTGGAATTGGATAAATAGACTGAAGCGGTCTTAAATCTCCCTGTGCAACTGACTTTATTAGGTACTCTGCTCAGAAACCCAAGTGGAGTTTAAAATCTTATACAGATCACTTTAACCTTTATTATAATTCTCTAAATGCATCTCATTGATGCTTAATTTAACAGTAAACATTTCAATAAAAGAAGAAAATACACTGCATGTCTGTTTTTTTTGTTTTTTTGTTTTTTTCTCTTTGAATGTACTTTGCCAATTATGGCTGATGACTTATTTATTCTCATTATCATGCTGTACATTAGGATATGGTGTATGCAAAAGCAAATAACACAAATATAACTATTTGGTTGCTATACTTATTACAAAGAGAATACAAGAGAGATACACATTTATTTGGTGATCATCAGTGGGGTCATGGCTCCAGACGGCACTGTGACACTCTACCTTTAACAAATCTAGAGTGAGGGACTATATATATGTGCAAGCCCCTGCTAGTGTATACAGTGAAGAAGGGGCCTGAGAGAGTTTTTTTTGTTTTTTGTTTTTTAGTTCTATGTGACATTCTAACTGTGAAGTTTGCTTTTACTGCAATAAAATACACATATTTATATTCAGCGATGCCTCATGTGTAAAACAGTACCCCCTATGTACAGGTTTATGGTGTTTTGGGAAGTTACAGGGTCAAATATAGCGTGTTACATTTTTCAGTTTTTAACCCCTTAAGGACACAACTTTTGGAATTAAATGGAATCATGACGGAATATTAATGTGATGTGTCCTTAAGGGGTTAAACATTGAAAAACGCCGCCCTAAGTGCTCAGTCAAGTGCCTGCTTGGCCTCATGTCTTGGGGAGGCCAAGAGGTTGCCGGCCGGCCACCCTTTGATCCTCCCGAGGCATTTAGCTGGCTCAAAGTTTAGACGGGGGGGCGAGGGAGCGCAGTACTCTGAGCACTTCCTGCTCCCTCGCACAGCCTTGTATGATGCCAGGAGCCGGAATATGACATCACTCCGGCCCCGGCGGTGCGCGAGGGAGCAGGAAGTGCTCAGCTCCCTTCAGACAGATAGACCCTGACCGATAGACAGACCACCTGCACAGTCACCCACCCAGACACCTCCCCACCGGGAACATCCGCTGCTGGGACCAGGACCCCCTCCCCGCCCGCTCCTGCTGGTTCCGGGACCCCTCAAGCAGTCATGGAATGTACCCTGAGCGCGGAGGAGAGAGCTGCGCTGGAGAGAACCAAACAGACCTGCTACTGGGTGAGCTACCCCCATCTACTCCACTGCCCCCTAATCTGCCACAGCTACCCCCATCTGCCCCAGCTACCCCATCTACTCCACTGCCCCCTAGTCTGCCCCAGCTACCCCATCTACTCCACTGCCCCTAATCTGCCCCAGCTACCCCCATCTACTCCACTGCCCCTAATCTGCCCCAGCTACCCCCATCTACTCCACTGCCCCTAGTCTGCCCCAGCTACTCCCATCTACTCTACTGACCCATATGTGCCCCAGCTACCCCATCTACTCTACTGCCCCCAAATCTGAACCAGCTACCCCCCTATACTCTACTGCCCCCAAATCTGCCCCAGCTACCTCCCATCTACTATACTGCCCCATCTACTATTCTGCCCCCAAATCTGCTTTACTGCCCTCCAACCTGCCCATATACCACAATCTGCCCCACTGCTCCCTATTCTGTTCATATACCCCATTCTTGTGGGATCTGCCCACTGTAGCCGGGGTACATACTCCCTTAATCTTTTTTTAATCAGGGACATTCATTTTCTCCTCCCCCCGCCTCCTCTCAACTGCCTTACTGGTGTTTACGAATCATCCGCACCCCTTATCTACCATACCAGGGTACAGTAATAATCTGCTCTTACAGACAGCTAATGACTACCCAGTACTGTGTGGGGCATATCACTTGTCAAACAGCACAATAAGCCTGGTTGTCTAATTACTGGGTGCAAATGGGCATTCACTTATAACCCACATAATATAGATATCAGCCCTATGCTATACGCCATATTGTAGAACTGTCAAGATTGTCAGACTGAAGTTGAAAAAGATGTATATACCTCAGTGTGTGTGTGTGTCTGTCTGTCTGTCTGTGAGAGTCTGTGAGTGTCTGTCTGTGAGTGTGTCTGTGAGTGTCAGTGTGTGTGTGTGTGTCGTTCAGGGAGTGTGTGTGTGTGTCATTCAGGGAGTGCGTATGTCAGTGTGTGTGTAGCTGTCAGTGTGTATGTGAGTGTATGTGTGTGTCTGTCAAATTAGTGAGGATGTTCATGTCAGTGAGTGTGTGTGTGTAAGTGTGTGTCTGTCATTGAAAGTGTGGGTTGTTTAAACAATGTGCATGCCAATGACTGTATGTGTGCGCCAATAACTATGTATCTGTCAGTGAGTGTATGTCAGTGCATGTGAATGAGGGCGTGTGTCTGTCATTCAAAAAAGTGGCCTTGACACGAAGTGGTGGGGCAAATTTAGATTAGGGGGGTGCCTGAATTTAGTCGCGCCTTGGGCAGCACAAATCCAAGATACACCACTGAACATACCCCATTTGCAATACCTTGGGTTGTCTACTATTGCAAATCGTATGCCATCATGGGGGTAATTTTCATTCCTGGACTACCGTACGGTCTCAAAGGCAACATAACCAACCTGGCGAATTTCAGTGTGAAAAAACTGAAACGCAAGCCTTATATTTGACTCTGTAACTTTTGAAAACACCATAAAACCTGTAAATGAGGGGTAGTGTTATACTCGGGAGACTTTGCTGAATACAAACAGTGTTTCAAAACAGTAATATCGTCAGTGTAAGTGCCATTTGTGTGTGAAAAATGCAAAAAATGTCACTTTCACTGACGATATCGTCATTGTAATACACTTACCCCCATGTACTGGTTTTATGGTGTCTTGGAAAGTTACAGGGTTAAATATAGTGCTAGCAAATTAAATTCCCTGAACTTTCTGCCTGGGTTGTCAGGCAGGTCCTGCAAATTGTAATTAATAAAATGACCTAATTTAAAATTATTACATAAATATATACGTAAAATTATTATATATATATATACACACACCTGTGTGTGTGTGTGTGTGTGTGTGTGTGTGTGTGTGTGTGTGTATATATATATATATATATATATATATATATTTTTTTTTAATTATTTTTATTTATATATAGGTATATATATAGTGATATACGTATATACTTATTTATATAGATATATATTATTTTGTTCTACATGTATTTTGATATGTATTTTGACATTTTTTTCCCAGTCCAGCCTTGACTGCAGCTCTGAACAAAACAGTGTTCGCATCTTCAATATGTGTTACATACTCTCTTATAAGAGCTGTGTCTTTATTGGCATAATGGCATAATTCAAATTTTTGCTAAATTTGTGACCACTCTGCTTCTCTTAAAATAAATGGCCAGCATTTTTCTGAGTCCTGAGCAAACAGTGAGTGCAGATTTGCTTGTACCCCATGTTCACATCCCTGTGCCTGCTGCAACTATTAATCTGGTGTTCCTACACTGGGTACTATTCACCTGTCCTTGCAGCTCCAGTTGTACCACTCCATCTTCCTTCCTGTGTTTGTTGTATCCTTACTCTCCCCCCCCAACAACACTACTTTTCTCTATACCACCTACTCTTCTTTTGTTTTCCCCCACTTACTCAGTTTCATGCAATCACGCACAGAACCTGCTTCACAATTAATAAGATCATCAAGGTATAGTGGTATAATGAAGGGAGAATTTGCACTCAGAGTGATTTTATTCCTTATATAATGGAGCTCTGAATGTATATGTAATGATAACCGATATAACAAAATATGCTAATATTGAGATTCACATATGCATATACATTTTACTCTGAAGTTTTAAAGGAAATACAAGCTTTACAAATATGTATTTTAGGAACAAATAAAAACAGTATTTGTATAAATGTGTAGCTACAACTAATATTTCAAAATTATTCCTTATGAAGACTATCAGTGATTGTAACATTCTACCTTGAGACTAATTTGGTATAAAATTAGAAAAAAACTCTTTTGCAACAGGAAACATTAGTGATATCACAAATAAACAGTAAACTAGTAGGTTTTGTTAGCCTAAAGGCCAGTGGAAATCTTTTAGGATCTTGATTACATTTAAGAGAAACCTAATATAAAATAAGATTTAAAATTATTGCTTTTTGTTTTCCTAAAATTCTAAAGCAACGGACCTTGTACACATAATAAATGTGACTTACTTCTAGTCTGCGGAAAGGCTTTGAAACCTATTTCACATCTCAAAAATATTGTCCATTTTCATAAAAATACATCAATCATAGCCAATAAAATACTAGTGATGAATGATCTTCTGTTGGTTTTTATTGCCATAGTTAAGCTCAGCTCCTCCTGTTAGAAGCAGATCGATTCCAGTGCAGAATGTGCCATCGGCTGCTAGATACAATGCGGCCTTGGCACACTCGTCAGCTGTGCCCATGCGTCCCAGGAGCTGATTAAACAAATTAACAAACACAAATCAATACTTCTTAGTAGAAACAATTAATTCACAGAATCTATAAAAGGAAATAAAAATTTTTGATTAAATTAACAAAGTTGATTAAAAACTCATTTTTATTCTATAAATCTATCAATGCTCTTTTTTTAAATAAACCAAATATACAGCAAGTTAATATAACTATTTATTAAAGTTCACTTTTCTCCAGGTAGTGGATAATTATTAATATTGTGGGTATTCTCGCAGGTGAATGAGGGGATCAAATGTCACTATTTGTTATATTGAAGAAAATGCTAAACTAAGAATAGTAAGAAAACAGATGGCTTGTCTTAATGCTTATCACAATCAATTGCCAACAAGACAATAATCTTTAGACTGTCTGTCATCACAATGATCATATCTTGACATTTTTTATGCTGCAAAACCTAATTGAAAATAAGTTGTGGCAAGAAATGAATAAAACAAACAGATTTTACTGATAAATACAAAAAAGCAATGACCCCAATGTGCCAAAAGGTTTCCAATATTTTTTTACTACTCTACCTCTGCGTTATTCTATTTTATATCCCACAAGGATAGTAGTAATAAATAAATAATAAGAATATATATATATATAAAACATTGTGATTTGATGTTAGTACAATAAAATAAATATGTATTTAACATACAGTACTCAAAAGTTTGCATACTCTGGCAGAAATTGTGTAAATTTGTTAGCTCTCACGTGGATGCACTGAGCAGGTTAGATACTGAGCCATGGGAAGCAGAAAAGAACTGTCAAAAGACCTGTGAAACAAGGTAATGGAACTTTATAAAGATGGAAGATGTAAAAAGATATCAAAAGCCTTAAAACTGCCAGTCAGTACTGTTAAATCACTTATTAAGGAGTGGATAATTCAGGGATCTCTTGATACCGAACCAAGGTCAGATAGACCAAGAAAGATTTCAGCAACAACTGCCAGAAGAATTGTTCAGGATACAAAGAAAAACCCAGAAGTAACCTCAGGAGAAATACAGGCTTGTCTGGAAAAAGATAGTGTGGTTGTTTTAAGGAGCACAATACGACGATACTTGAACAAAAATGAGCTGCATGGTCGAGTTGTCAGAAAGAAACCTTACTGCGCCAAAGTCACAAAAAAACCTGGTTACAATATGCCCGACAATACCTTGACACGTCTCACAGCTTCTGGCTGTCACGGGTGGCGGTACGGAGACAGGGACCCCTGAGTGCCTGAGTGCCTGATGATGATGGGAGTCTCAGCGTGAAAATAGACTATCAGGGCCTGGTGCAGGGTAACCACACGCCCCCTGGTGTTGAGCACCAGCGTTTGTGCGGCCACATACCAGGAACCTGATGCAGCTTTTGCGGAGCCCAAGAACTGGGAGCTTGATATGGAGACCTCCCAGGAACTGGATAGGGAGACTCTGCAGCAGATATGTATCCAGTACTAGAAACAAGGCAAGACTAGAATAGGCACCAAACAAGAGAAGACAGAACTAGAAGAACCCAGAAAATGTACACAAGACATGAGGGAAACATGAACAGGGAAGGACAGGACTGTGCATGAACTGGGAATACAAGAGAAAATAAAACAAGATAAGAGATACAAGGCAAAACAAGAGGAGAAATAACTAAGTACTATATATGTAAAACATTGGAGATTTAGACATACATAAATGGCCAAGATGTATGCAGCCCACCACTGCGCCATAGTACTTCAATTACGGTGGGTCCTAACTGCATAGATATGCATGACTAAATGAACAACAGTAAACACAGTACTTACCTGCAAGGAAATGTGCAGAGGAAATGAAACCACTGCCTGCAGGAACCGACTGAAACAAAAGGATTAATGGCAAATGAATGGGTGTGGCAACATAAAACAAACATTTAAAGGAATCCAGGAGACTGGGAATTCCAGGAACGGAATAAAGGAATGAACCCAGAAAACCCAGCATAAAGAAAACCATACATAGAATAGAAAACCAGAAAAACTAAACAAGAATTGTAAAAAGAGTACTGGATACCAGAAGCCAAGGCCAGATATCTCCGCAGAACAGAACAGGATGTGACACTGGCACACTGTAATTTGGAGTGACGATACCAAGATAGAACTTTATGGTCACAACCATAAGCGCTATGTTTGGAGAGGGGTTAACAAGGCCTATAGTGAAAAGAATACCATCCCCACTGTGAAACTGATGTTTTGAGTGAGGGGAGGGTGAGCTCTAAAGGCAAGGAGAATCTTGTGAAAATTGATGGCAAGATGAATGCAGTATGTTATTAGAAGATACTGGCAGACAATTTGCATTCTTCTACACAAAAGCTGCACGTGGGTGAGAAGCTTTTGAACTTTCCAGCATGACAATGACCCTAAACACAAGGCCAAGTTGACCACCCAGTGGTACAGCAGAAAAAGGTGAAGACACTTTCCTGACCTTAATATCATCGAGCCACAGGTGAGATCTCAAACGTGCAGTTCATGCAAGACGACCAAAGACCTTGCATGACCTGGAGGCATTTTGCCAAGACTAATAGGCAGCTATACCACCTGCAAGAATTTGGGGCCTGTGTATGTGTTTGGAGCCTGCTTGTGGGATTTAGTGTGTGTAGAGTGAGCTGTTTGTGGTGTGGTATTGTGCATTAGTGTAGGTTTTTTAGTTGTGTTCTGTTTGTGGTGTAATGTAATGCATGTGTGGCTAGGGGCTGTAGAGAGTGTGTGTATAGGGGATGCAGTATGTGTGTGAGGGGTGCTGTAGTGTGTGTGTATGTATGTATGTACATTATGCACTCTATTTTACATGCTACTGAGACCTGCAATATCAACAATATATATATGTGTGTGTGTGTGTGTGTGTTTGGAAGTATTGTGTGTTGCGGGGGGTCTGTGTGAGGGGTGCAGTGTGTGTGTGTGATGGATGCTGTGAGTGTGAGGAGTGAAATGTGAGGGTGCTGTGTATGTGAGGGCGTTGTGTGTGTGTGAGGGTGCTGTGAGTGTGAGGGGTGAAGTGTGTGTGAGAGGGTGCTGTGAATGTGAGGGTAATGTGTGTGTGTGTGAGAGGGAGCTGTGTGTGTTTGTGTGAGGGTAATGTGTGTGTGTGTGTGTGTGTGTGTGTGTGTGTGTGTGTGGGTAATGCGTGTGTGAGAGGGCTGATGTGTGTGTGTGAAGCATTATATCCCCCCTCCCTTCTTACCTTTTGCCTGGGAGGGGGGGACCGTGCTGCCATCCCTGGTGGTTTCTAGTGGAAAGTGAACTTTAGCCTGTGGGGCTAGAGTTCACTCTCGCGAGAGGAACCCGGCAGAGCTGTCTTTTGAATAAGAAGCAGTTCCTGAGTGGGATGAAACGCGTTGGATTGATTTTGCCTGTATTTGATGCTGGCTGTTTTTTACTTCTGTGTAAGTAATAAATATTTTTATACTCTTCTTTAATATTCAGTTACTTTATTTTGGATGCACTCTATTTTACATGCTACTGAGACCTGCAATATCAACAATCAAGAGAGAGACACAACTTTAGATCTCCAAAGATTGCTGAATGACCTTTTTTTCAATAAAAAGTGTGAGTGACCATTGGCACAAATAATTACTCTATTTGGGTTCTACAGAGTTGCGCTATGTTTTATTCATATTTCCCCTAGTTGGATTCACCCTATATTTTGTATGCAGAGTCTCTAGGCAGCCAGAATGGCAGGGAACCAAACTATGCATCAGAAAACCAGTAGGATTTGGAACAGATCCTGAGCTAGTTAAGTACTCTTTTGCCACCTATCCTTTAAAAAAGTAAAGGAATACAGAATCTTACTTTAAGTTAAGATGGTGATCACATGTGTGGATTATTATGCTGGAGTTAGCGGTTATTTCACACAGAAGTATATTCTTATTTCTTTCCATATAACAGAACACCCCAAACATTCTGTAGGATTTTATATTAATTTTATATGGACCATTATTCCACCAAACAAAAAGCAACTTTTTAACCCACTCAAGAGCCTTGTTAAACACCCATAAATGAGTTGAAAGGTTGCAGTTTTTTGAGTGTTTAAAATTTTAAAATGTCTGAAGTATTTGGCTATTCAGATTTTCTCATGTTAATGTTACTTTGGCAGAGCCTACCCTTATTCAATATTTGAAGTATTATTATTATTATTATCGCCATTTATATAGCGCCAACAGATTCTGTAGCACTTTACAAAATAAGTAGAACCGAACAGCCAGGGGAATAAGCATCTGGCATAACTCAACCCTTTGTTTGAGATCTTTCCTAACCTGAGCATCTTTGCCTCCAAGGACCATGTCTTCTGGATTAGCTGAATGGCTTGAGAGTTCTTCCCACAGCGGGGTCCATATGTTACCAGGAGAGATACTGGAACATAAAAGTGTCTTCATTATGTTTACAACATAGTATACAAATGGTAGTTAAACAGTATCTTGCCTTATAAATTAAAATAAATAAAATTTCTTTATTTTTATTTTTTTTGGGTGGATGGGGTAGCCTGTGATGTTAATCATACACTTCAAAATTGTGATGAATTACAAAATTTAGTATTTAATTGGCTGAACTGGAAAAAGCATTTTAAGGAATCACAAAACTTAAGATAAAATGGCTGAGCTGGAAAAAGAAGGGTACATTTTGCTCTCACAGATTTTCAAAAATATCTTGGAATATAATTGTTAGTATTAGAAAACTTAATCATACTCAAACCGTTTATCTGATCCCCCTGGGAATTGTACATTTAATTGGTTTTCTAAGATTTTAAAATGAATAAATAACTTACCTGTTAACCCTCACATTATATTGACTTTCATCCACAGCCATGGCCTTTGTCATCGCAGTGATGGCACCCTAATACAAATACATCCCGCAAAGTACCAATCGATTATTCAGTATTCCGTTTGAAATGTGTCCTTTCTACCATTATGGATTACTTGCTAATAGAGGAAATTTGTCTACGATTGTGAAATTTTGGACTAATTCACATTTGTCAACCAGATTTTTAGGAAAGCCAAATCAAAGGGAAATTAGAATAATAAATCCAACTGTAATCACCAATTAAAGAAGGAACTTATAGTAGTGCCAGGAGTACACTGGTGCCTCCCATTATAAGTGGTGAAATGATTTTAAATATCCAGGCACTGTTCTCTATCTTGATTACTAAGATCGGAGTGTCAGAAGTTCCCAAGTATGAACTTCTAAAACCTCAGGAAAACTAACCGAAGTTTCTGCTTAGGAATTTCTGGCTCTCTGTCTTTAATAGTGTAAGGAGATCAGTGCCCTGTGGACCCCAAGTAAGAAGTTAAACTGTTCAAATTATGGTGCTTAGATTGTTCATACCATGTATCTGTGCTTAGATTGTTGATACCATGTATATGTGCTTAGATTGTTGATACCATGTATCTGTGCTTAGATTGTTGATACCATGTATATGTGCTTAGATTGTTGATACATGTATGGTGCTTAGATTGTTGATACCATGTATTTGTGCTTAGATTGTTCATACCATGTATGGTGCTTAGATTGTTTATACCATGTATCTGTGCTTAGATTGTTCATACCATGTATGGTGCTTAGATTGTTAATACCATGATCCTGATCATTGATTCTCACTGATAGTGTAATGATGGCTAAAATGATGAGGTTCTTGGAGTTCTGGGTTCACTGGATACACTATTTTGACAGATTCTAAGTAACAAAGTGACATTACCACTATGTAACTTGTTGAATCTAGCACTGATATCAGTGTACACCTCCCAATTTAACCGTATCCAGCATTGCAGTCCTGATTTCAGAGCCCTTTTCCATTGTTCTGAATAAGTGATTACTGAGATTGAAGTTAGAGAGAGACTTCTAGTGTGGTGGGGATAAAGAATAAACTAGTGTGAAACACAGAGGGAGAAGTGAGTGTAACTTTGATAATTAATAATGGAGAAAAAGATATATGAATAGGGTTGGCAATCTGAAATGCAGGAAAAAAATGTAAATGCAGATTATGAAGATTAACGAGAACCTATAAGAGGAGAATATATCATTGATAAATGAGAAGTAAAAATTCAGCCAACATCTGAATATCTACATAAATCCATCCCAAAACATAAAAATATACCTTCGTGGCCACATAGGGTATTGCATATTTTTGACCAATGATTCCAACGAGGCTTGAAATGTTGATAATGTTTCCCTGTGTCTTTCTTAGATGGGGTAAAGCATACTGCAAGATATCAAAATAAACAGCAGCTCACAAAAGAGAAGCAATTAAAGCAAGTAAGGCATCTGACTTGTGAACTGAAAGCAGATTTGCCACATGCAATTTACTTAATTAAGTCAATTAAATACAAATGATTAACAGGATAACAATTTTTTTTCATCTAACCAAGCTATGCAAACATTCTTGGTGTTTGCTTTATTGTAATTTAATCATCATTTTCTAATATGTTAAAGGGGACAGTCACATCTCAGGATTTCTAACATTATGTTTATTTGTCCCTATAATTAACAAATATGTATTTGTGACATGTAAAAGATTGTGACATTTAATCTAGAAATCCATACCTATGCTGCAATTGGGTGGAATTGGGGAACATTAAACATTGTTTCTCTATCTCCTGCTCATTTGCCTTGTCTGAACTGCATTGTGATGTTATTTCAGGGCTGAATTTACATCACAAGGGCCTATAGGCACAGAATTCTCAGTGCGCCTCCCAATCCCACTTCTAAACTAATAAAAACTTGACCATTTAAATATGGCACAAAAATGTTGTATTTACACACACATATACAGTGAGTGTGTGTGTATTACAGTGTGGGTAGTTTGTTTAGCAGTGTGTGTAATCGCGCTGGTAATATCAGTACTGTATGTGCAGTAGTGAGTGAGTAATAGTGTGGGCAGCAATTTGAGTAGCAGTGTACATAACAGTGTTGCAAGTAATATGTGTCATAGTGTGTGTGTGTACAATCTGGGTAGCAGCATGTATAGCTGTGTGTGCGTACATTCATGCACAACTCCTCTCCCTTCTCCAAACCAGTCCTCTCCCCTCTCCCACCAGGAGATTGCTGTGTCCAGACTGAGGTGGTGGGGCCATTCACAGATTCACTGCTTATTGGGAAATCTGGCCCTGTGTCACATGCTAAACATTTAATATAAATTAAAAAAAAATCTGAACTCATAAAATAGTTATTTTTAATGTTTTATTCAATGGTATATATTCCAAAGCTGTTCCCCTTTACTAACTGTTGAAATGGCATTCAAAGACTTCTCAAACCATAATCACTTGAATGAACTGTACCACTTATGGTTCTTAGAATGCCCCTTTAAGATCAACTGTTTCTAAAAGTGGAACAACCACTAATGAAATGTTCTTTCTGTTTCCTTAGACTGTTGCCCCAGAATGCCTTTTCACACATACCTTTGCTGTGAGAAAGTATCCTATTAAATTTAAGTTCAACAGGTCATGGAACTCCTGTGCACTCGTGTCATCTATTGTCTGATCTGGAGGATCTAGAATTAAAATGAATAAACTACATAAATACAAATGTATATTAATTACTTCAATTTTAACACATCATGCAAGTATTTTAGAATCATGCTATTTATTTTGCTTGCTTGGACTGGATAATTATTTTTGTTTATTATTATATATATCTTTAGTTTTATAGAATTTTTTTCATTTTCCTTTAGCCAGAGGCATAACTAGAAACTATTAGGCCCTGGTGCTCCTTCCCCATGTGTCTCATATGCCCCTCCCAGCCCATTCGTATGTTTCATTTCCTCGCCCCCAGCCCCCATATGTCTCATTCTCTCCCCCCAGCCCCTCCATGTATTTCATTTCCTCCTCCCAAATGCACTCCATGTGTCTTATTTCCTTCCCCCAAAGCCCCTCCATGCTTCTCATTTCCTTCCACCAAAGCCCCTCCATGTGTCTCATTTCCTCCCCTATAAGACCCTCCATGTATCTAATTTTTACTCCCAGAGCCCATATATGTGTTTAATTCCCTCGCCCCCGACCCCCCATATGTCTCATTCCCTCCCCCAGCTCCTCCATGTGCCATATTCCCTCACCTTCATTCCCTCCATTTGTCCCATTCCCTCACCCTCAGCCCCTCAATGTGTCCCATTACCTCACCCCAACACCTTTATGTATCCCATTCTCTTCCTGCACAGCCCCTTCATGTGTCCAGTTCCATCTATGTGTTCCATTCCATCCTCCCTCCAGCTTCTCCAGGTGTCCCATTCCAACCTCCCCCAGCCCCTTCATGTGTCCCATTACCTCACCCCAACACCTCTATGTATCCCATTCTCTTCCCGCACAGCCCCTTCATGTATCCGATTCCCTCCATTTGTTCCATTCCATCCTCCCCCCAGCTCCTCCATGTGTCCCATTCCCTCACCCCAACAGCTCTATGTATCCCATTCCCTTCCCGCACAGCCCACTTTCTCAGTGAGCAATTTCTGTCAGACCAGTCGGCAATGCTACATACACCGGACCGGATCTGAATATCTAAAAATTGTTAGTAACTGTAAACTGTCGTAGTGTAATACCTATAGTGCTTACAAAACTTGGAATTCAGTTATAGGATTGTGTTTCACCTTATTATGACCCATTTCTTGAAATTGTTTATAGTGATATGGATATAGGACTGAGCGATTAAAATTTAGTGAGTTGATCATTGGGTTGGGAATGTTGAGTTAAAGAAGGTCATAAAGTATTTGTCAATTTGTTTAATGACAACGACTATAATTTTTTGTTTGAATAGATGTTGAAATTCAGATTATATTGTTACACATAGAATCTACTTCTTTTCAAATAATTTTTATTGAAATTTTTTTCAGAATTTACAAATAATAAAGAACAATATATTAGGGAAGGGAAAGGAAGGGGGAAAACTGGGAGGTGGGGGAGAAAAAAAAGGGGGGGGATATCTATCCATTTAACAGTAAGAATCTACTAAAGGACAACTTAATATTATTAGTGAAAATTATAGGAAATCAAAATGATTAGTCCAGTAATGGAAATAACGAAATAAATTTTCTTGGAAAATCTCCAATTTGGAAAGATCAGGATCATATATTTTGTTCTCAGTACAGTTTAGAAATTAAAGTGACTCTATAGGCACTCAGACCACTTCTTTTAACACTGCAACTGAAAACACTGCCGTTTGCAAAGTTAACATGTCTCTAGTGGCTGTCTTCCTGACAGACACTAGAGATGCTGCCACCCCAATAAACTCGACTATCCAATCAGATGGTCTAATAGAGCGTGGCATTTTGCCGCACATGTGCACTAGCCTCCCAATGTTTCCCTATAAAAAACATAGGATTGGCCGAGATCATCAATACCGATGATCTCAGTGAAAGAGGTGGAGCAGCATCATGTAGAATGGTGCAGCGAGGGCTGTAAGGTGAGTACATGTCACCTTTCAAACCTTCACACTGTGTAGGAAACCAGAATAGGTTGATTAAAACGATGGCATTAGGAATGCACATTTGTACACTACAGTGCTCCTTTAAAAATATAGCTAAAATCATACAATTATGCAATGCACACTTAGCTCATACGTTGGGATCTTTCCCTTTAAGAATGTGCAGCTAAAAATCAATGGATTTGTACAAATATGGAGGTTGCTGTAAATGCTGTCCCTATGCAATCAAAGGACCTACCTTTCAATCTACAACAAAGATGAAAAATTATTATATTCATTACTACATTAATTGTAAAACTAACAATGCCAAATACCTCATTAAGTGCCTCAAGTGTATGACTAAGTATGCTGGTAAGACTAAGAATTAAAAGAGAGAATTAGAGAACATATACTTGACATTACTAAAAAATAAGATAATTATCAAGTAAGAAGACATTTTGATATAATGATATGGACAGTTTGAGAACCTGGTGAATGCACTCTAAAGCCCATTCCCAAATGACCTCCTACTAAAATGTAAAACCAAAAAGTGTAAAAATAAGAGACTTGGCTGGACTTTGTTGATAGCTGTGTGGCAGTGGCACTGTCTCTAGCCCAAGTGTAAGCCAAAGCAAATTTTGCATATCTCTACTTGATCTGAGGCAGTTCTCTTGTGAGTGTGGTTTTTATGTGCAATAAATGTACTACTCTATGATCTTATTCTCTCCCATATTCCTCTTATGAGTTCTATGCAGGATAATTCTAATTAAAAGATTGGTAATTATATATCCGTTATGTTTATCACTGGTGTCTGGTGCCCTCATGTAGCCCCATGTAGCAAAAGCGCAGCTTAGCGGAAAAGGGCCTTGACAGGGGTTAGGAGGCTGGCATAGGAAGAAGGAAGCAGGGATTGAAGTTATGGGTAAGTGGGCTGGCTATTTAAATAGGCAGCCATTTTAGAGCAATCACTTTTAATTTCCTACCTGGCTGAGTTTGTGTGCACTCCTGGTCCGGCGGCCGCATGGTCGAGGCCCAGCCTCCCAACGTGCTGCCGTGACCTCGGGTATGCACCACGCGATGGGCGGCTGCCCGGACTGGAGACGGTGCGGCTCCCAGGTCGGGAAGGGCCGCGCCGGGAGCGGGGACTGCGGTGGATGTCGGGCCGCCCCCTGGAGTGACCGGAGGCGCAGGGTCGCGGCCCGGGAGGGCACCCCCTCCATCGGAGGCCACTGATGACGGGGCCGGAATAGGGAGGAAACACAGCAGGCCCCCGGAATGGCAGGTGAGTACAGGGGCCCCCTTGGCGAGCGGGCAAAGGGGGAGCCCAGATGGGGAGTCATAGGCGGGGGAGGTGCGGGAGAGCAGGCTGGCACCCACTGGGTCACAGGGGGAGGGGTGGGGAGAACTGGGGGAGGCACAAGTGAGCTCAGGGACCGGTGGCGGTGGGCCAGCGTCTGTGGAGCAATGGGGTTGGGATTCGAGAGGGGTCTCCGGGGGGGGGGCTAGGATTGGGCCTGCATGCCAGGGACAGTCAGGGTCACTTAGGGAGAAGAGGACGGCTGGGGGGGCAGTGGCTGGGCAGGAGGTGCTGGCACAGCGAGGTTATGATAGCCGGAGGGCACCCTCGTGCAGGGGGTGGGGTTCATCCCAGGAATGTAGGCAGCAGTGGGGGGCGTAGTCCAAGGGGGGACTCCGGGTCTAGCAGTGTTAGCATTTCACCCATTAGGGCCAAGAGGGCTGGTGGGGCAAGGGGTGGGGCACGGCACGACTGGTCCACTTCAGATAGCTCTGCAGGGGAAAGGGTTAGGTCCCCCAGGCATGGTAGATGGGGGTGGTCCTCGGGTAGGGATGGTAGGAGTCGTAGTCCCGGGGGGGGGCTGCCCGGGCCTCTAAGGCACGCAGCAAAGGGGCCATGCGGCAGGAGGCTTTGGTGGCTAGCAGGCGCTCCCTGGGTTGGGACGGGAGGGTAGCAAGGGAACGGTTCACCCTACCCAGGACTTCTTCTCCTCGTTGCAGATCTCGGAGCCGCTCCTCCTCTGTGTTGGCAAGGCACCGGGTTGGCTCCCCGGTCGGCGGAGCATTGACGGATGTCGCTCATCCTGGAAAAGTGGCGGTTGGCACTGCAGCCCCGGGCGCTCCTGGGATGGGGGGCTTGGCCGATGAGTCCTGTGAATCATTGCAATCCAGCACACTAGTTCACACGCTACAGACACTACTCAACTCACTGGGAGCGGGGGGTGGCGCAGGGGGCAGTGTAGGAAGGGTGTGGGCACAGGGGGCTGGGGTCATGGGTTTCATCTCTCATAAGAAAGATAAGAAGGAGGAGGAAGAGAAATGGAAGCGGTATCGGAAGATACCAAAATCTTTCGGGAATTGGTTACGGGCGTTTTGCGTGCTGGCCAGTGTATTGGGCGAGAAATCTCCCGGTTTATGCTCCTCCCTGTTCTGCTACTTGGATGGAATTTGGGAAGCGTACCGCACCTATGGTGGATTGGCATGGTGGCGGTACGATGAGCAGTTTCGGCTCATTAGTTTTGGCTGAAACTAATGATGGCGTAGAAAGCACAGTCCTTTCAGCACATGGCCGGCGCAAAGGGGCAGTCCGCCTCGTTGGCCACCATTCAAAAGGGCTTATGCTGGCTCTTCAGCGAGGGCCAGTGCAAATGGGGAGCCACCTGTCGCTTTAAACATGAGTGCTCAGGCTGTGGCGGCACCCATGGGCTCAACCGATGTTTTAAAAGAGGAAAGTCGGGGAATGCCGGAGTCTCTACCATGGCCGGGGGAGGGGAGGCTTCCCCTGCCCCGGGGCTTAACCCCGGTGAGGCTAGACACGATGGAGCCGCGGCTAAGCCGCTACGGTAATAGGACGGATAACGCTGTGCTCAAGGCGGGCTTTGGGCAAGGGTTCTTTATTCCCTTCCTGGAAAGAGTTGGGGGTGGTGGGACTGCGCAACCTAAGATCGGTGGCGGAGTTCCCGGGAGTAGTGTGGGATAAACTGAGTAAAGAGGTGCTGCTGGGTAGGATGGCGGGCCCGTTCCCAAGAAGGACCCGGGGAAGTTCAGGCTCATTCACCACCTCTCCTATCCAAATGTAGCGTCAGTGAACGACGATATCGTCAGGGCTCTGTGCTCAGTCTCTTATGCATCATTCGACCAGGCGGTCGAGCTGATGGCTAAGGTGGATATTGAGGCCACGTTTCGGCTGCTTCCGGTCCACCCGGCTTGTCATCACCTGTTGGGGTGATTCTTCGAGGGGGGATATTTTGTGGACTTATGCCTCCCGATGGGACGTTCCATCTCTTGCGCTTACTTTGAGAAATTCAGTTCCTTTCTCGAATGGGTGGTGCGGGTTGAGTCGGCAAGCGGAGTGGTGGTGCACTACCTGGATGACTTTCTCTGCATGGGGCCGGCGGAATCCCCTGCGTGCCTGCACGTGCTGAGAACCGTCGAATGGGTGGCGGGCCACTTCGGGGTGCTGCTGGCAGCGGATAAAACAGATGGCCTGATGGCTGGAGATAGATTCTATGCTCGGGGAGTTTCGGCTGCCGGTAGCGAAACTGGAGGCTGCGGGGTGTGGTGGCAGCAGTGGCGCGAGCGCGCAAGGTCACCCTGCGTCAATTGCAATCGCTGGTTGGAATGCTCAACTTTGCGTACCGGGTGATCCCAATGGGTAGGGTATTTAGCCGCAGCGATGGCACTGTGGGGAGAAGGGCTGAGGGATTGGAAGGTGGCCTTTTTCTCAGACAATGTGTCCGTGGTGCACGCAGTCAATAACCAGTCCGCGGCATCGAAACCAGTGGTTAAGCTGCTGCTGCGCCTTGTTTTAATGTGTATGTCACTTAACGTAGTCTTTCGCGCGCGCTATGTGCCCGGGTACTTGAATGCGGTGGCTGACGCTTTATCTCGCTTTCAGTGGTCCCGATTCCGGACGGCGGCCCCGGAGGAACTGGAAACGGGCCAGAAGCACCCGGACGAGATATGGCAACTAGGAGCGTCTTGCTTGGGGGATTGGTGAAGGCTTCGCTGTCGCCGGCCACTTGGGCCGCCTACAATAAGGTCTGGCGTTCTTGGGAACATTTGTTAAAAGGGCTAGATCGAGTGTTAGTGGGGAAATCGCTCCTTGACGCCTTTCTGTGGTTCGCCTTTCGACTACTGGCGGGGGAGGCGTCCCCCGCGGTGGTTGACAGGTCCATGGCGGCAATGGCATTCTGGTTTAAGCTACACAGGAAGGAGGATCTGACTAAGACCTTCGTCATTAGGCAGGTGCTCAAAAGGTACCGGAGGGGCCACAGATCTCCCGATACTAGGCGCCCGGTGTCGGTACAGGTGCTGGGGGACCTAATACGGATCTTGCCGGAGATTTGTTTCAACAGGTTTGAGGTGTCGCTGTTCCGGGCTGCTTTCCTCCTGGCCTTTTTCGGGGCCTTCCGGATTGGGGAATTGGTAAGTGCCACTCGGGCGGCTTCAGGGGGTCTGCAGGTTTCGGGAGTTCGGGTTCTGGAAGGAAGGTTGGTGGTACACCTGGTCAAGTCCAAGACGGATGTCAAAGGGGTGGGCTGTGACGTGACACTGGGGGCCCTGCCGGGCTCCGCGCTGTGCCCAGTGGCCGCAGTGGCGGAGTACGTGGCCAAGAGGCTGGTGGGTGGGGGATCGTTCTTGGTACAGGCGGACGGGACCTCCCTGTCCCGGTTCCAATTAACCAAAGTCTTTCGGTCGGACCTGGGGAAACTGGTTTTAAATGCGGATAGGTTTGGGATGCATTCCTTCTGTATCGGGGCGGCCACGGAGGCCACACACCTGGGTTTGGGGGATGATTTAGTGAAACGGATTGGGAGATGGGAGTCTGTGAGCTTCCATTCCTATGTTCGTTTGGGCTTATTGGATTAATTAGATGGGCCGTTGGGGATCCAGACAGGGATGGGGGTGTCTTACAGTTTATTTATTTCTTCCCCAGGCCGTGTCGCATAGATCGTGGGCCATTCCTTTGTCGTCGAGGCCGAAAGGAGGGCTGCAGCTTGAGCTCAAGGCCAGAAGCTGGGCTTTCCAAGGGACCACCTGGCAGTGCGATGGTTTGGGTACAGGGGAGGTTGCTGAGGAGATGTTTGTGGGGCGGTGTTCCGGATGGTGGTTGGCAGGCAGAGGCCGGATCTGCTGTTCCTCCATGCCGGGGGCAACGACCTAGGCTTGACGCCGCAGCGTCGGTTGGTGAAGTGGATGAAGCAGGACCTCAACAAACTGAGGGACCTGCTTCCTGGAGTGATGCTGGTATGGTCAGAGATGGTCCCGAGGCAGCGATGGCGCCACGCACAGGACCCGGGGGCCATGGACAAGTGCAGGAAGAAAGTGAACAGCTTGATGGCAAGCTTCGTTAGGAAATTGGGGGGTGTGGTAGTGCGGCACGGTGAGTTGGAAGGTGGGCTGCAGGGGTACTACCACCCGGATGGTGTTCATCTCTCTGCAGTGGGATGGGACCTACTGAACTTGGGTTGGCAGGAAGGGATGCAGAAAGTACTTTTTCTTCAGGGTGGCGGAGCTCAGACGGCTTAAGGGGTCAAGGTCTGAGCTTGTGGCGGGATAGGAAGGTGAAGGAGAAGAAATAGGCTCCCCATGAGGAACATGATGGAAATGTAAAATCGTGGTCATTGGCGGTTGGTAGGTTTCGAGTCCTGTTGGTGGCTCAGAACCTGGTGGGGTAGGGGTATCCGGGTATACCCCTGCCGTGGTTAATTTATGTTTGGGCACTTAAAGTTGGTTCATGTTGGAATAATGTTGATATGTGTTATACAAATGTGTATCCCCAACGCTGCAGTGCCCTAGTTACCGTTTAGGTGACTGGGCCTGGCAGCAAAGGTTAAAAAGTAGGGATCGACCGATATTGATTTTTTAGAGCCAATAGCTATAATCTGTGAACTTTCAGGACGATAGCCGGTAACTTACCGATATTCTGCACATTTACCATTTAAAAAAATAACTATTTCTATAGTGTGTTTATAGTGAATGCAGTGTGTGTGTAGTGTGCGTAAAGTGAATGCAGTGTGTGTAGTGAATGTAGTGTGTTTGTTTAGTGTGTATAGTGTGTGTATAGTGAATGCAGTGTGTGTAGTATGTGTATATAGTGAATGCAGTGTGTGTAATGTGTGTATAGTGAATGCAGTGTGTTTGTGTGCGTTTGTATAGTGTGTGTATATAATGCAGTGTGTGTGTGTTTGTGTAGGTATGTAGTTTGTGTAAAATGGTGGGGCATTTTTATTTGATTAACTTTTTTTTTTTTTTATTGCATTTTTTTATAGTTTTTTTTGTCCCCCCTCCCTGCAGTGTGTTTGTGTAGTGTGTATATAATGAATGCAGAGTGTGTGTGTGTGTTTGTGTACTGTATATAAAGAATGGAGAGTGTGTGTTTGTGTAGTGTGTGTGTATATAATGCAGAGTGTGTGTGTGTGTTTGTGTAGGTATGTAGTGTGTGTAAAATGGTGGGGCATTTTTATTTGATTAACTTTTTTTTTTTTTAAATTACATTTTTTTTATAGTTTTTTTGTCCCCCTCCCTGCTTTTTACTTGGCCAGGGAGGGGGGATATAGCATTCCCTGGTGGTCCAGTGGCATGGACTGTGCAGTAGGGGCCCACTAAGCTCTCACTTACCTTCTCAGCTGCTCCCTTCAGCTCCTCTGTCTAACTCTCGTGACCTGCGTGCTGCGCAGAGCATTGCCATGGTAACCCGTGGCTACGCTCTGACAGCCACGGGACTCACGAGATTTAGACAGGGGAGCTGAAGGGAGCTGCTGGCAAGGAAAGTAAGAGCTTGCTGGGCCACCCAGGACCAGCAAGCTTGTCATGGGCCTGGTGGTCCTGATCGGCAATATTGGTAACTTTATTGGCCGATACCGATATTGCCAAAAATAAAGAATATCGGCCAGACCGATAATTGGTCAATCCCTATTAAAAAGGTGACTTTACTTACCTTTTCTCCCTTGCAGTGCTGGTCTCCGGTGTGCTGCTCTGCCTATTTGACTGAGATCATGCTTTCTTATGGGAAAGCATTGGGAGGCTAGTGTGCATGCACAGCAAAATGCAGCGCTACGCCGATCAGGTGGTCTCTTTGAAACCATCTGATATGAATAGCAGAGTTTTCCTCTGCAATTTCTGTGGAAGTGGACTGGATGTCTATATTGAATTTAAATAGAAAAAATTAATATATTATAATATTTCTTTCTAATAACATATTAATAGCCATTTATAATGGAGCATATGTAATAGTAATATTTATTTCAAATATGAATTTTTACATTGGCTTTATTGTTATCCTTTATATTTAAAGTGTTACACAGTGTAAGTTAGAAGTATTTTTCTACCATATTTGGCTATACATATTTAAGTGGAAATGGTTGAGCCAGTATTCAGACGAATTTTATTTTAGAAATTAGGATAAAATTTGTATTTTATTACATTCTCCTTTTTTAGTTTTTCTACTTATATTTATGGAAAAACATGACATCTGTATTCAAATACATGTATCTTCTAAATTGTTGAAGAGTTATATTTATAATTTTTTTTTAATTTTTCATGTTCTATAAAGACATATGGTGTCTTTTTATTTGTTTGTGCCCTGTGTAAGTATCTGTGCAACAGACTTACTACTGATACTTGTAATGATAAAAGTTTCACTTTAATGGAGTCCCTCCTAGTGAGACAGGTATATTGCTATCCATCTTTAGTTACCGGATATTCTTATGATTAACGGAACATGCATCACATTGAGACAACCGTCTCATTCAAAAGCTTTAGCTTTGATTAATACTGTTGTCTCACTTGGCAGGATGAAAAAATGCAGGTAAATATATTTTCTTTTTTCACGTTAACCTGCTTTTTCTTTCTTATGATTTCCACACCCACTCTACTGATTTAACTAGTGTCCTATCCCAAGGAATGCTGCTGACCAAAAACACTAAAACAGTCATACCTCCCAAGCGTCATGTATCTGATGGAGTTGGTGTTGGAGGGAAACTCAAAAGATGCAGATATAAGAAAACACATACTCTATACTAATCTCTCTCTAATTTATGCTTTAATCTTTCAAGTAAATCCATACCCCCTAACAGCAGTGTCCGGTGAAGCAGGAAGTCAATGGTCGGGGTAAAAGGGTGGGCCACTGACGTGAAAAAAGTGACCAGAACTGCCAAAAGCGGCGAACATGCCCATAAAGGGGGCATGTCTGTTTAAAGAATTGGAAGGCCAGCCTGGCATCAGTGTCCCTATGTATCACAGTGTCAGTGTCCCCATGTCTCCCAGTCCCCTAGTTTCCCAGTGTCTCAGTATCCTCATTTCTCCTTGTGTCCCCATGTCTCAGTGTTTCCAGTGTCACTAGGATACTAGGAGACACTGAGGGACATGGGGACACTGAGACACCAGGGGACACTGGGAGACATGGGGGCACTTGTGGATACAGACATCGGGACACTGGGAGACATGGGGACACAGACACTGGGAGACATGAGGACACAGACACTAGGGACACTGGCTGGGAGGCATGGGGACACCTGAGAAACTGGGAGACATGGGGGCACTTGTGGACATAGACATGGGGACACTGGGAGACATGGGGACACTGAAAAATTTGGGGACACTGGAAGACATGGGGACACTGAGACACCATGCACACTGGCTGGGAGGCATGGGGACACTGAGACACTGGGAGACATGGGGGCACTGAAAAATTTGGGGACACTGAGACACCATGTCTGTTAGTGAGTATGGGTGTGTTTCTGTTAGTGTGTCTGTCAGCAAGTGTGTGTGTTAGTGTCTGTCAGTGAGTATGTGTGTGTGTGTCTGTTAATGTGTCTATCTGTAAGTGTGTGTGCCTGACTGTCAGTGAATGTGTGAGTGTGTCTGTCAGTGAGTGTGTGTGGGTGTCTTACGAAGCCTCCTGTCATGTGGTAAAATTATTAGTAGATGTTTCTTATAGCAAAAAACGGCTTCTGCCAATTCTTTAAATATAAGCATTTCAGGGGGGAAATTCACCATGCTTCTGTGGGCAGAACAGTCTTCTTCAACAAACTAGTCCAAAAACTACAATTCAAAGGGAATGTCTACAAAACATATATTGACATTCACAATACTTACGCCAACCAGCATTATTGATGAGACAGTCAATTCGTCCGTGTGTCTTCACTGTTACTTCAATTAGTCTCTGTTTCAAATGAGATTAATGTCTAATTATTATACTGTTTATTTGTATCTTCTAAACTATAAAAAAAACACATATTGAATCTCAGATCCTAACGCCAAGTGGAATGGTATGAAACATATCTGGATTGTCAGTTAGAGAAGACTGTCTTACTCACTATGAAAACTAAATAGTGTTTGAAGACAATGCCGGAAACCTACTAAATTATTAGAAAGAACTTACTTTTTTAAATAATAATGAAAGAGAAGGAAAGCACTTTAAAGATGTTAAACAGTCTGTTATTTTGAACAGTGTTTTGAAAACATTGACAGAAATCGAAGACACAAGATTTTCAATTTGGTCGAAAGGAATTCATCAAATATTTAAATGAATGGCGTTTCAGAAATAGCAAAAGGAATATTTTAGTAAACATTGTGCACTCACTAAATGTTTGGAATTATGATCTAATTATTCCAGTCCTTAAAAAGTAAGATGATGGAAAAAGAGATGGAAAAAAACACCAATTATGTAAACTCAACACCTAATGTAAATACACCATGTACTTTTCGCTCTTACAAACAAATGAAAATCTATTGTACCGACTCCTGTAGAAAATAAGAATAAGCCGGAATATCTAAGTATTGCAGAATTTAAACAATATTCCTTTTATAGATAGTGCATTGCAGGAAGATAAGTAGACCAGATTACCTCTACATGTGCTCCTGACCTCGCATCCTCCCAATCCTATGTAGACAACTCCCTAATATAATTTGGCAGATGTATTTAAGAATGGCAATATAAAGAAAGCAAATTCTTCTTTTTATTGGGTTATTAAGCATCCACAGTGAGTTCACAGCAAAAAATAAATAAATCTAAAGTCAGAAATATACATACTGCTCCCATGAGAAGAGGTGAAATTTTAAAAGACATCAGATGGGCTGCATAAATGATGTTTAAATAATGGGGTTGCTGTTTTGAAATCTAGTTTCCACTGGGGTGAGGTGAAATTTTGGTTTGGTTTAGGGTAATTCCTAAGGGAAAGAAGAGGTTTTTGTAGCTAAGTTAAATGTTTTTAGGTACTTTTTCCAGTTTATTATTCTCAAGACCTCTTCTGCTATAGTCCTAAATGTCATGAAGACTTGAGAGACTTTATTCCTTAAGAATTGTTGTCAAGGGGCACTTAGAAAAATATGTTACAATTTTAGAGTGTTTTTTTATTTCATAGTTAGATATTCCCATTGGAGATACGCTTTAAATGACTGTTAAAGTGGCATTGTCATGCCGAACGTACCTTTCTTCAATCGCCTCATCTTCTCTCCCTCTCTCAGGATCTGTTCTTCATTTCTTCCTGTCTGCTCTAGTTTTCTTTAAAACATAAGACATTATTTGTCTTATGGAGGTTTCCTACGCTTTACCAGCTTTGACCCAGTGGAGGAGCAAAATCGTCTCCATTTCCTACAGTCACAGCAATTTTTCCACAATTCTCACCTTCCTCCTGCTGCTTAATTCGACATTCGAATGCCGGCTAAACTACCACATTTCGTCCTAACAGAATGAGAACAGTTTGTCCATTCATGTTAGGATGCAATTAGTGAGTTTTTGTTCAGATCGGAATTTCATTAGAATGAATGAAACTCTGATCCTATTCGTGCCGCAAGTAGATAGCTCCCTAATTCCCACGGTGTTAGGGAGCTCTCTACTAAAAGGCTGAGGGACCTAAATTGGACTTTCAGCCAAATTTGCTAATATTAAGTAAAGATTACTTAGTATTAGTAATTAAGGGAGATTACAATCTCCCTTGTGGCCCTACTCGCTATACCGCAAGTAGGGGCATGTGTACTAAACAGCGAGCAGCCTTAGTGGGGCACCTTTAAAAATTCTCCATGTGGGCCCTCCACTCATGCACCTTTTGTCCTCCCCCCACCCCCATCCATGAGCAGTGGGTGAAGGCCCAAAATGACCATGGAGGGTACACCTACTGCCTCCCCCCCATTCCCCACCCATGAGCAGCAAGTGGGGGCCCTAGGGACAATAGGGGGAGACCTATTGTCTCCCCATGCCCCCACCCGTGAGCAGTGAGTGGGAGCCCAAAGTGACAATAGTGGCGGGTGGGGGCTAAATGTAAAAGTAACCCCCCAAGGTGACTAGTGGTCCCCAAGCCCCTAGTCACCCTCCCTCAAATAAAATTAATTCCTTCCTACCCCCCTCAGCCTAAAATTAGTGAGGGGGGGAATAAAAAGCTAAATACCTGTAAATATTTTTTTTTTTTAAATCATACTTACCATTAGATGTCTTCTTTCTCCAAAACCTTTTTTCAGCCCAAAAAAAGGCCAAATAAAAATCAATAATTCCTGTCGAACTTGTAAAATAAATAAATAAATAAAAACCTGAGTGCAAAAAAAAAAAAAAAAACTAAGCCGAAAAAATAATAATAATCCAACTTCACCCAGCAAGGGCACCACGCAGACTGAGCTGCGCAGGGCGGGGAAAGGCTTATAAAGCCTTCCCACACCCTCCAATTTGACTCTGATTGGTTGGTTTAAGCAAACCAATAATAGTGCTCTGATAGGTAATTAGGTAATTCTTGAGCCTTGCAAATAACCAATCAGGCAAGGCTCAAGAGTTACCTATCAGAGCCCTCTATAGCCCCTCCCCCATTGTCACTAGGCCCCCACCCACTGCTCATGGGGAGGGCAGCGGGGGACTATAGGTCCTCCCCCTATTTTCACTAGGGCACCCACCCGCCGCTCATGGATGGGGTATGGGGGGACAATAGATCCTCATCCCCTACTATTTTCTCTATGGCCCCCGCCCACCGCTCATGGGTGTTTGCCAGGAGGACGGACAATAGGTCCCCCCCCCCTATTTTTACTAGGGCCCCCACCCGCCGCTCACAGGAAATGAAGCGGACTTTGCTCTTCCCCTGGAAAAAGCATTGCTGGTCAAGCATAGGAAAAATAATCCTTACTGTGTCTTATGTTTTAAAGAAAACTAGTGCAGATAAGAAGACATGAAGAACAGATCCTGAGAGAGGGAGAGAAGAGGTAGCGATTAAGGAAAGGTAATAAACTAATAAAATAATAGTAGACAAACACAGGTCCCATAGACCCTCTTATACCTGCCATTGTTTCAAATAAGCTGTAGAGCTCTAAATTAGACTTGTGGATTTGGTTTCAAATGAATTGCAATTCGTCCAGATTTTAGGCGACCGGTGGTTTGACCGAAAACTCTCTTAAACACTATATGGATGAATCAAGAAACAAACAAAACCGTTCCTTCAGAATCACCAAAAAAAAAGATGATTGATGGGAAAAATATCATCACGAAATGTTGATTTTAGTCACAGATACATTTTATGTATATAGCTTGCTGTACACTGATAGACTTTTTTGCCATTTGATTTGCAGATCAAGTGAGAAGAAGTGGCCAATAGAAGGAAAAAATAAGTACATAATATTTATATTTTGCAGTGCACTGATTGGCCAATTCTCACGTCATATTGGTTCGTCCAAATCGTTTTTCCCGAAAATGACTGCATGAACAAAATTGGTCTGAACCGAAATGCCAAATGGATAAATCCCAAATCAACCAAAACTATTTTATTCTTGGCATGAATCAAATTCCATTGCCATGCCCAAGCATACTGTAAATTCATTTTGAAGCCATCTATTAGGTTAGCTGGATCTATTTTTTTATTGTGAGCATCTGATAGTTTTGTTGCTTTTTTCTTAAACTTGCAGCTCATTTCATGATGTCAATTTTCAAAACCAGAGAACTTGGAAATTGAGAGCAGCAGCTGATTACTCTGGAAGAGGTGAGTATTTTATTATTATTATTTTATTCTTAGAAAAAGGGGTAGCCAAAAGAGGGGTTCATAGCTCTTGTAGAACTTAAACTTCCATGATGCTTTAAAGGACTACTATAGGCAACCAGACCACTTCAGCTTAATGAAGTGGTCTGGGTGCCAGGTCCATCTAGGATTAACCCTGCCTGCTGTAAACATAGCAGTTTCAGAGAAACTGCTATGTAGGGTTAATCCAGCCTCTAGTGGCTGTCTCATTGACAGCTGCTAGAGGCGCTTCCGCGCTTCTCACTGTGATTTTCAAGAGCCGCGTGCGCATTCAGCCGATGACGGCGAAAGGGGAGCCTATCGCTCTAGAAAGGTAAGTGTTTAACCCCATCCTCTCCATCCAGCCTGGCAGGAGTGGTACCCTGAGGGTGGGGGCACCCTCAGGGCACTATAGTGCCAGGAAAACTAGTATGTTTTCATGGCACTATAGTGGTCCTTTAACACAGAAGTTCACATTTTTAGAAAAAAACTATTAAACTGTAAATATTCTCCAAGAAGACTATTTGACTAGTATGGCTAACAAATGTGCCAGTTTATGGTAAATTTCTTATAATTCCCAGTGTATTAATTAGTCCTGTCAGTCATTCGCATTAAAGGACCACTAAAGGCACCCAGACCACTTAATCTCAATGAGGTATTTGGAGCAGTGATCCTATTATTTTAATCTTTCAATGTAAAAACATTGCAGTTTTACATCTCAAGAGGCTTTCTTCCTGACAGCCATTAGAGGGCACCCCACCTCCAGAACTGAGTCAGATCTGGCTCTTCAATCAAATACTGCATTTTGAAGTGCATGCGTATATCTCATCTCCAATATTTATTGACGCATTGTAGAAGCAATTATTATTTTTATTAGTAGGGACTACAGGATGGGTGGGATCACCAATAATCAGTAACAAGCAAAATAACAATTTACAATTTGTTACCTTAATTTCATCTTCTTTTGTTACGTCACAGGGAATGTAGGTGCCAGTTCCTGGCCCAGATTCTTTTAATGCCATTTCAAGATCTACAGCCTTTTCTTCTACAAAACAAAAATACTAAATAAATAAAAATGTAACACATTGGGCTTTATTCATTAATATACTAGAAAAAAATGTTTTAAAAGACAAAAAATTATCTTATGGTAAAATCCTACTTTAAAAAAAGGTGGATCAAGTCAAGTTTCAAGATCATATCTACAGAGCCTCCATATACATTAGTGTTGTACTGACAGATAAAGTACCAGTAGCAGAAGAAAGACAATAGTGGGACAGTGGTGAACAGCATCAGGAAAATATAACTCACCATGACTACACCCCAGGGCCACCCCCAGCGGCGATGTCACGGTTGGCTATCTTTGCAAAATATGGTAAGATTTCAATAGTTGACATTTTTAGAAAAAAACCTTATTATACCACCTTGCTGTCAAACAGTCCTCTTACCAAGTGTGGGCCCCTAAATGCTGGTGGGCCACAGTGTCATTGCACCTACAGTAGTTTTGCCTCTGCCAGGTAGTATCAATATTATTAATAAGAGTCAGCATTTTAGTCTACTTGAGTGCCAACAATTAAAACTGTCTCCTCCCATCCCTATAAGATTCCTTAAATCCTAAACCTAATTAGAAGGAACAATGTGTAAAAGCGTATTGAAATATATTTAAGCCCATTCTCCACCAGTCCATTTTAAATTACACAACCACGCAATCTGAATTATTTATGTGCATCCAGTTTTTCTAATTGTTTCACACTTTGTGTAAGCAGAAGGTGCCTTTGTGTTCAATAATGAGGTGCACAACTGCCTTCAAACAAACAGACAAAAAGGTATGATGGTGGGATTATAAAGATTATAAAAGATAGCGTGAATATATTATTCATTCATATTTTATACGTTTACAGGCTGACTTTGAAAAGTAAAATAACTATGTTTTTCTCGGAGATTGGTAGTCTGCAGCTAAGGTTTAAGCAATGGGTAACTTTGCAATAGGTATGTTTTTTAAATGAGCTTGGGTCCCCTAAACCCTCAGGAAAATGGAATGGATGAATTGAATTAACCAGGTAGTGGCTCAAGCCTCTTCTCCAGTCTTTGTGTAGTCCCCCCCAGCCAGGGCAGGGGGGGAGGCCTTGAGGTGGCCAGCTGGCCAGCTCATGGGCCCCCCAGGACAAGAGGCGGGCAAGGTATTTGCCAGGGCGTTTGGGGGGTGGCTTTTTTTGCCGTCGCCACTATGGATCCATAGAGTTGGTTCCCCTTTAAACCCATGGAGGTTCTCACAAGGGCTCAGAATAAATAGCTCTATTAACAAGACACACTATTGATGAATTATGAAGTGTAGCTCAAGTTCCTATGATGTCCACAGTTATCAGGAAAACCAGAAATGCAGTGGAGATTGATAGACTTACCTCTCTTGTCCATGAAACCTCAAACCACTTTCATAAAATATGGGATATTCACAAAACAACAATGAATAGGCGCTCACTAAAATAACAGAGTGGAAGGCAGCAGTGAACCAGCAAGTATTCCCAACCCTTGCTAAGATACAAAAATGTGGAAGAAAAAGGTTTGGTAAACCATGCCAAAGAAGAAATGTGTATAAAACAAATCAGTAAAACCCAATAAAAGACTAACTCACACTTTTTAGCTCTACTAAGAGCTCTGCTGCTTAGTGTTTGGACGGTACAATCCCCGTCTTAGGATATATAGGTATTCCTTGTGTTGGACATCCAATTCTCAGCAGTCATAAAAGAAACAAAGGAAGAAGAACCAATGGCACAGTATACTGTAAGTAATATAAGATATAAAAACAAGTAGGTATCCTACTTACAGTTTCCAGAGCAATGACTTGCTCTAGTAGTATACGCTTTTGGTGGTACAATCCCCACCTGGAATGTGCAGGAAACAGATGTAGCAGAACAGCAGCAAGCAGGGCCCGGATTAACATAGGGGCTGATGGAGTTGCTGCTCCAGGCCCAAGCCCAAGCCCATGGAATAGGCCCATTGATTTACATTTAAAAATATATATATTTTTTAAACACTACTCTTAGGGTTGCCAGGTATTTCTTAGGGTTGCCAGGTATTTCTCAGAAGTATTTCTCAAGTATTTGAGGCTGCCTAGCCGGTGCCACTAGTGCAGTAATAACGCCAATACAAATGTCAGTCTCAGTATAAACAGAGATTATTCTGCTGTGTGTGTGGAGAGAGGTAGGGATAAAAAGTTACAGCACCTCCTTCCCTGCCTCTCTCTACTCACTGATCCGCGGGGGAGCAGCTCTGCACAGAGAGTCCCGACAGCAGCTCTGAGCCTGCAGAGACAGCCAACAGCTCAGGTAAGTGAGGTATGGGGGAAAGGCTGTAGGGAGACATGGGGACACAGACACTCGGGGACACTGGGAGACATGAGGACACTAAGACACAAGGGGGCACTGAGACACTAGAGGACATTGGGAGACATAGGGACACTTGGGAACACTGAGACACTAGGGGGCACTGGGGACACAGACACTAGGGGAAACTGAGAGATGGGGACGGTGAGAGACTTGGGGACACTGGGAGACATAGGGACACTTGGTGACACTAAGACACTAGGGGGCACTTGGAGACCTGGGGACACTGAGACACAAGGGGAAACTGTGAGACATGGGGACGGTGAGACATTGGGACACTGGGAGACATGGGGACCCTGAGGCACTGGGGAACATGGAGACCCTGAGACACTAGGGACACAGTGGCCCAATGTCTCCCAGTGGCCCCTAGTCTCTCAGTGTTCCCATGTCTCATAGCCAGTGTTCCTGGTGTCTCTGTGTCCCTAGTCTAGCAGAGTCTCCTAGTCTCCCAGAGTTCCCTAGTCTCTGTGTCCCCATGTATTTCAGTGTCCCCATGTCTCAGTGTCCCAATGTCTCTAAGTGTGTCCTAGTGACATGGGGACACTGGGAGACATGGGGACAAATACTCTAAGGGACACTGGGAGACATGGGGATACAAACACTAGGGGACACAGAGACATGGGGACAGTGGGCGACTTTGAGACCTGGGAGACATGGGGCACTCCCAGTGTCCCCATGTCTCCCAGCCAGTGTCCCTAGTATCTCAGTGTCACCATGTCTTCCAGTGCCACTGGTGTGCCAGTGTCCCTAGTGTCTCAGTGTTTCCTAGTCTCCCAAAGTCCCCTAGTCTCCCAGTGTCTCAATGTCCCCTAGTATAAAAGAAAAAATCTCAGGCACTCATTGTAATAGATTTAAGCAGGTTTATTGGACACCACAATGTTTCGACTCCCAGTGCCCTCATGTCTCCCAACCAGTGTCCCTAGTATCTCGATGCCCCATGTCTCCCAGTGTCCCAGGTGTTTGTGTTCTTAGTGTCTCAGTGTCTCCCAGAGTCCCCTAGTCTCCCAGTGTTCCCATGTCTCACAGTGCCCCCAAGTGTCTCAGTGTCCCCTAGTATAAAAGACAAAAATCTCAGGCACTCACTGTGATAGATTTAAGCAGGTTTATTGGACACCGCAATGTTCTGACCTGTAACCAGGTCTTTATCAAGTATCCAGTGTCCCCTATGTATCACAGTGTATCAGTGCCCCATGTCCCTTCATGTCTCAAAGTCACCCATGTCTCCCAGTGTCCCCAAGTGTCTTAGTGTCCCCAGGTCTCCCAGTGTTCCCTAGTATCTCAGTGTCCCAATGTCTCTCAATGTCCCCTAGTGTCCTAGTGACATGGGGACACTGGGAGATATGGGGACACAGACATGCCCCCTTTTTGGGTATGTTTGCCCCTTTCGGCAGTTCTGGTTATGTGATTTGCGTCAATGGCCCACCCTTTTACCCTGTCCATAGACTTCCTGCTTTACTGGACACTGCTATTAGTGGGTATGGATTTACTTGAACGACGAAAGAGTGAGATTACCATAGGGTATGTGTTTTCTCATAGCTGCATCCTATGAGTTTTCCTCCAGCACCAGCTCCATCAGATACATGACACTTGGGAGATAGGACTGTTTTTGTGTTTTTGGTCGATAAGATTTTGTAAATAGGCCCATCATAATTGTCAACACCAGGCCCACTGGGCTCTTAATCTGGCCCTGGCAGCAAGGTAAGGTAAAATAATAAAAATAGGGGTATATTGTAACAGTTAACTTTATTGTATTTTTAAATATAAAGTGATAAAAACAAATATATACCTACCTGTTTGTATATCCTTGTTCAATACTCTTCTATTCTTCTTTCTGTGAACTGTCATTTTTTCTCTTTCTTTCCTAGTTTTTTACACTCTCCCTCCTCTTTTTTTTCTGCTGGTGTTAAGGTTTGATAGGAGGAGCCCAGGTGGAAGAAATAAGCCAATGTGTTACCAAATTGGGCAAGCATACGCATAGTCAGGAAAGCCAAGGATCAGAACAGGTGGCACAGGTTCACAGACGAGAAGACAGACAAAAATGGGTCAAATACCAGGGAGTCAGTATGATGGAATGGAGATGTATATACATCAAGGGCATGGTCACATTGTGATACTTATTTGTAATACTTCTTTAATTGGAACTCAACTGCAGAAACAATAAGTTTCACCTCCTTTTATATTAAAGTGAACAAGGTTGACTGTATCTTTAAATACACATGCAGGAAGAATTAGACTTAGTAGCAATCCATTATTGACAAGAGAGAATTTTAGTGAAATTTAAATACTGTATAAATTAATTAATATGAATTGGTTTCCTTGGCAAAAAGGTTTACTTAACTTAGAGGCAGTTCTGGCAATGGAAGGGTTAATTCACCCAATGGAGGAGAAATTAGGAGTCTCTATTAATAAGCTGAGCGTTAGGAGTGGAGAGTAAGGAAGTCCGTTTTTACTAGCCGAGGTCTGGGAGTGGAGAAGGTAGAAGTCCGTTTTTACTAGCCGAGGTCTGGGAGTGGAGAAGGTAGAAGTCCGTTTTACAAGCCGAGGTTGAGAAGTGGAGAAGGTAGAAATCTGTTTACAAGCCGAGGTCGAGAAGTGGAGAAGGTAGAAATCTGTTTACAAGCCGAGGTCGGGAGAGGAGTGGAGCCGGTAGCATCAAGTAGAGCAGCTGATCTCAATGCAGCACCTGAGTGAATAATCCAGCCCCTTGAATCTGGCGCGGTCTTCCTAAGTATCGTGGAAGGACCGCGTCAGAGAAAGGGGCGGGGCTAAGCGCCGTGAACACGGAAGTGGGTTCCAGCGGCAGCATGAATGATAGAGTATACCTGACACACATATGGTTTTATATGGGAGAGGGCCACACCTCTCCCACTCTATTGGCAATTTTGTCTGCACCATTTGAAGTTATCCTGCTACTTATAGAATGCATGCCTTTTGAATATGTATTTTGTGGGGATAGATCAAAAGTCCAGGAGGGTCACAAATCAAAAGGGCAGGTCTGCCTACAAAAATGCCCCTTCATCCATGTTGTATAACATATTTAATATAATTTAATATTGAGCTGAGTGAGCTAGTCCTTCCACCATTTACACATCTTTCACAGCACACCTTATTATACCTGTAACGGAGGGCCTGTACCCATAGTAGTACCTCTGCTCTAGATTCTCCTAGGTCCTGTAGTTTTGCATACCCAAACATAAGCCAGGACTTGATGAAGGGTACAAAAAGAACTGATTTATTCAGCCAAAATCACACACATTTATACACAGACCCACAGCATGGGGTCTCCATTCATGAACCTGTAAGCCCGCCCAGGTGTCTCTTTGTCTGGGAGATAATTGAGTTGATAACCGGTAAACTAATTATCTCCCAGACACAGAGAATGCAACATACGAATATCCCCCAAACAGTAATATATTTCCACAAGTCATATGTTATTTTAAAGGGGAGCTCATTCTGGGAAAATAGCGCTCTGATTCATGCAGAATTGGCCAAATGCCACCTAATCAAAGTTTCACCTAACCGCTACAACAACCGTGGCCGAAAAGAGTTCCATGTGGTGGGAGACAATCCTCTGTGATTTGCCGGGCGTCACAGCGCTGTGGGGAATGGGAGCTCTCTGGGTATTCCTGGGAGAGACTACTCAGTTCTGTGGTAAGAAGCTCCTCTCCAAAGAGCGCTCTACTAGGTAGTTGTGAAAGGGGTGAACATGGAGGTCCAAGGTGACCGGGGAAACCTGTAACAAGTTGAGTTCCAGAGTGTTTGGTGGCAGAGCGTTTTGCATTGTTGCAGTGCAAAAGACAATGGAAGAGGGTAAAAAAAATGACCAATAATTTCAAGTACTTATGTTCAAAAGAAGAGTAAAGACCAGATTATCTGTTCGGTGAAATAAAGAGGAGCAATAGGTTTCTTAGTAATGTGTGCAAGAACTTTAATTTGTTCTAATACATACATCTCATATATGAGTTAATGGAAAATTTGCAGAGTTCCTATTGAAAACAATAAAAGGATATATGAGATAATCCACTTCCTGCACATCCTGAAGTTTTACAATCATTGAATGCACTCCATAATACTATTACTGGTCTACTATACTCTGGAGTGTTTTAGAGATGGATAATTGGTCACTTACATTTCACTGTATAAAATATTTTTCTATATCAAAAAGAAAAATAACAGATTGAGTTCTGGAGCTCAACTGCCCATTCTCTCTGTAATTTTTAACAAAAAATTGCTGCCTTGCAGATTTCATACACATCACCTAATTAAAAGTGACTTCATACTTGGTGACGTTTTCTGTTGTTTAATTTGTGCTTGCAATAAATACACAAGTAACAGGTAGTAAAGAAATCATATGCATTACCTTTTGAACAGTAGACAACATTGGCGCCATTTTTCACTGTGGACACGGCATGTCCATACAGAACAATATAAGAAAAAGGAAATACACAGAAGTTAGTATCCCACAAGTATTTGTTTAAAAACACCTACATTGAGTGTAAAATAACATTTTTAATGGGTGAAAAAAAAATCATGTTATATTAGGAAATGATGGGGTAAATTATAACCCATTGTCTGTTTTTGGCCTGAATTGTGTATTTTTCAATATGATCACAACCCAATTTAATGGATAATTTTACTGCTGATAATGACACTAAAGTAAAAAAAATATGATTTGCTTAAAACCAGCCCTAACTTGATTTAAACATTGTAAGAGTTAATGTGAAACCAACAATCCATGACTGATAGGGTTAACGTCTGTTCAGCTGAATCCTAACATGAACAACCTTTTACATTGCAAGGACGTGCATAGTTTAGCACATGACCACGTAAAAACGTCACATACGTAGTCTTGGCACACGGCCACCTTTTTTCTCTCCTATTCTAAGAAATCCTGCCTTTATACCCTCATATTCTAAGAAAAGCCCACCTAGTAATGCCCCCTAGATAAGTTTTTCATCAATGATTTGTTATACGCTTTCCCAATGTTATATGCATTACGTTACCTAATAGTTGTCAATATGTGATTGGTAATTAATTATACTCTCCATATACTTATTTATTGCGTGTTATTATAAAAACCATTGCTCTTGTAATAGAGAATCAGACTTTTTCCTGAACTGACTCCCTTGTATGTCTTTCAGTGGAGTGTCTCCAAGTACTTGAAGCCGTGTGACTCAGTCAGGATAGGACTATAACACCATGGCAGGTAATTCTGGTGATCACCAAGAACAGGACAGGAGTGTGTTCCAACACACATTAATCTTGCTAACAAGTTTGATAAGTCAATATTGACAACACAACCCCCCAAAAATGGTACATTCACAGGCTCTCTCATTACATCATAGATTGAATGTGCCGAGTTTTTCAGCCATGCTCTGTGCATGGTCTGCCTTGAGTGAGGCAGGCCATGGATGCTGTTAGTTAACCTGGCTTTTTTCTATCACTTTGGACCATGCTTTAGGATGCAATGGTTAAATCCTATTCATTAAAAACCAGGGGCTGATGTGTACTGTGGTCATTGCTGCCAGCCAGACAGGAGTGATAGGAGTGAGCCCAGGACTTATCTTTTTGTATTTGTAAATATATTTATTGCCCATTCTTTGTGTTTCTGTCTTAATAAAAGAAGTGCTTTCAATACAGGAGTACTGGCCCGTTTGTTTTTCTGTGTGCGTTTGCACGTTATTAGTGAGAAGTTTGCAAGCTCTCTTTTACATACATTAAAGGGACACTCCAGGCACCCAGACAACTTCTGCCCATTAGAGTGGTCTGGGTGCCAACTCCCACTACTCTTAACCCTGCAACTGTAATTATTGCAGTTTTTTATAAACTGCAATAATTACATTGCAGGGTTAACTCCACCTCTAGTGGCTGTCTGCTAGACAGCCACTAGAGGGCACTTCCTGCTTCATAGCAAAGATTTTCTTTGCTAGAGCGTCGCTGGACGTCCTCACGCTTTGTGAGGACCTCCAGCGTCGCTAAATTCCCCATAGGAAAGCATTGAAAATTATTTTCAATGCTTTCCTATGGAGAGACCTAATGCGCGTGCACGGCATTGCCACGCATGCGCATTAGGTGTGCTCAGCTGGCGGGCGTGATCAGTCTTGCCCACCGGCTAACGTAATTACTGGGAGGAGCGACGCCGACCCAAAACCACCGCCGAGGGACATCAGCGGGGTCTCAGCTAAGTGACCTGAAGGGGTTTTCACCCCTTCAGCTACCTGGGATGGGAGGTGGGAGGGAGAGGGTACCTGCAGTGCCAGGAAAATGGATTGGTTTCCTGGCACTGGAGTTTCCCTTTAATGGTGTAAAATGGTGCACACTGCATGGTTTTCAGGCATAGACTGCAAAGATCATCTTTCCAACTTTGAAAAAGTCAAAACATCCCCAAATAAGAGGAACTTGTGGCTGGTTGTGCTGACATCTCTAAAACATTAACAAGCATGGCCTTTGGACTATTTTTTGCTAAAGAAAAAAAAGTCACGGGACACTCCAATGTGTTCTGTTCTGTCTGTAGCAAGAGTATCAGTATTACTTGTAATGGAAGACAGAACACCCAAACATCATATACTACGTTATTGAAAAGAAAGAAAATCTGATGAAATGTCATAAATAGGTTTAATTGGAATGCTTTTTTTTTTTTGTTTGTTTTTTTTTTTAAACATAGAGAAAGCTTGATTCAGCAAAGGAGATTCCAATTCAAAAGGTGCCAGACTGCCAGGTTACAGTTTAGACCTCAATTTAATATTCTTGGACAAGCCTTACAAAAGACTTTATATTTTTGGATAAACTTTTAAACTTTATTTAGTAAAGTGAAAAATATTTTAATATTTTTTCATATACTGATTTTTTTTTTAATATGACATATTTTTTATATTTTAAATGAACACTATAGCATAACACTATAGCGTAAGAAATACAATCATAAGTATTTCTATTGCTATAATGTCCTACTAACTATTTAGGTCACCCCCCTGTTACAGTTTAAAATAAACAATTGTTATTCGCCATTCAGTTCTCCATGCTGCCGCACCGCCTCCCTGGCTAACATCATCATGAGTGATGATCTCAACCAATCCAGTTCTTCCCCATATGGAAGCACCTTGAGGTTAAAGTGCATGCACGGAAAATTACAGCGCCATGCTAATCAAATACTCTCTTTTAGCATCATTTGATTGAGAACCAAGAGTGACTCAGTTCTTTTAGGGGAAACACCTCAAGTGGCTGTAATGAAAACATTGCTTTTCCTAAAAAATGCTTTACATTGTAGGGTTAAAACGCCACGGGCACTGCACTCATTGAGATGAAGTGGTCTGAATGGAGAGGAAGGGGGTTAAACACTCACCTTTCTCCAGCACCGGGCTCACTGGGTGCTGGGGACTCTCCTCCTCCTTTGGCCATCATCGGCTGAATGCGCATGTACGGCAAGAGCCGCGCGCGCATTCAGCCAGTCCATAGGAAAGCATTCTCAATGCTTTCCTATGGAAGCTGGCGTCTTCTCACTGTGAAAATCACAGTGATAAGCGCGGAAGCGCCTCTAGCGGCTGTCAATGAGACAGCCACTAGAGGCTAGATTAACCCATAGGTAAACATAGCAGTTTCTCAAATCCCTTTTGTCTCCAAGTCTTTTTCTTTCTAATACTCACCAAAAGACAGAAACTGGTTAACAAAAAGCCACCAGCAAGTGCTGAGTATTATTGCTGGACTCTAGAGCAGTTTTGATATTTGTGCTGCACTGTATTGTATGTGGATAGCCGAAATGCTTATTGTTGCGTTTCATTGACATGTTGCATGGTTGGCATAGCCATTTCAATGCCACATTTATACCGCCCAGTGTTGGAAGACAAGCAATATTTTACGCCAAGAATACAGCGCTGCTAAATATGTTGGCACTTTACAAATAATAATAATAAGGATGTCCATAACCCGCTGCCAGCCACGGTGGTGGAGAATTATGAGAATGAGTAGCCCATTGACTTCTACAGTTTGACACCTGGCATCATCTAATACGGTGCTAGGTTACGTTGGCAATGCATTTGCAGCTGAGCAAATTTTAAATAAAGGATCTCAACTACATTCAATCAAAAAGAAAACTGTAACATATCTTCCTGGAAATATCTAAAAACAAATTTAAATTAAAAAAAACAACAACCATAAAACTGAACACAAGATCTTACCAAACAACTTGACAGTTGCTTCACCGATGCCCTTTGTGCCACCTGTGATGAGGACCACCCTGTTAAGATAGCGCAGACTCTGTTCTGTGCCACTGGATGTCATGGTGCTTTACCTGCAAGTCACACAGTGAAACTCTCTGAATGTGTGTTAGAGCAGTTTTAGTCACGCTTCCAGACCAGCATCAGCTGATCACAGAGGAAATAAATTTGGCTGGCCCAACTGACTGAGGCATGATGGGAAATCTAGCTGGAGAGAGACTATGAGTAGTACAGGAAATGAATTAATCCACAGGACAGTTTAAAACATGTTAAAATGGGCGAAAGAGATATATTGTTTTGTTGCCAGCAAAGTAATTTGAATTTTAGTTCTAATAGCTGTAACTAGGTAAATGATTTTGTGATAGTTCTGTTGCATAAAAGCTTCATCCTGTGTTAGTTTTTATTAGTTTTTTATTTGTTTTTATAGATATGATACTATTGTGTTCATACAGTGAAGACGATTTCACCTGAATTAACAGCTTGAAGAGGCACTCTATACACCATAACAACTTTGCATTTCTGCAAAAATCATGCAGTGGAAATCACCCTGCACTCACTATTATCTCTGAGAGGGGCTGAGAAATGCAGTGATTTCTAAAATCAGGCAATCCAGAACACTCAGTACCTGACTCACTGATATCAAACTCCACAGACACAACTTGGGCCGAGCATGTCCTCTCCTATGCTGAGCTGCGGACTGTATATGTGTGGAACACAGTCCTGCTAATCACAGAACATGGCCAATACACTAAATAGTCAAAACAGGATTACTCATAAGGCAGCAGAGATGGTCTGGGTTCAAATCATCAAAGTGTTACTCCAGTCACTATGCTCTTACATAGTTACATAGTTACATACAGTCAGGTCCATAAATATTGGGACATCGACACAATTCTAATATTTTTGGCTCTATACACCACCACAATGGATTTGAAATGAAATGAACAAGATGTGCTTTAACTGCAGACTGTCAGCTTTAATTTGAGGGTATTTACATCCAAATCAGGTGTAGGAATTACAACAGTTTGTATATGTGCCTCCCACTTTTCAAAGGACCAAAAGTAATGGGACAATTGGCTGCTCAGCTGTTCCATGGCCAAGTGTGTGTTATTCCCTCATTATCTCATTTACAAGGAGCAGATAAAAGGTCCAGAGTTCATTTCAAGTGTGCTATTTGCATTTGGAATCTGTTGCTGTCAACTCTCAATATGAGATCCAAAGAGCTGTCACTATCAGTGAAGCAAGCCATCATTAGGCTGAAAAAACAAAACAAACCCATAAGAGAGATAGCAAAAACATTAGGTGTGGCCAAATCAACTGTTTGGAACATCCTTAAAAAGAACAAACGCACCGGTGAGCTCAGCAACACCAAAAGACCCGGAAGACCACGGAAAACAACTATGGTGGATGACACCCTTCACAACAGTTGGCCAGATCAAGAACACCCTCCAGGAGGTAGGTGTATGTGTGTCAAAGTCAACAATCAAGAGAAGACTTCACCAGAGTGAATACAGAGGGTTCACCACAAGATGTAAACCATTGGTGAGCCTCAAAAACAGGAAGGCCAGATTAGAGTTTGCCAAACAACATCTAAAAAAGCCTTCACAGTTCTGGAACAACATCCTATGGACAGATGAGACCAAGATTAACTTGTACCAGAGTGATGGGAAGAGAAGAGTATGGAGAAGGAAAGGAACTGCTCATGATCCAAAGCATACCACCTCATCAGTGAAGCATGGTGGTGGTAGTGTCATGGCGTGGGCATGTATGGCTGCCAATGGAACTGGTTCTCTTGTATTTATTGATGATGTGACTGCTGACAAAAGCAGCAGGATGAATTCTGAAGTGTTTCGGGCAATATTATCTGCTCATATTCAGCCAAATGCTTCAGAACTCATTGGACAGCGCTTCACAGTGCAGATGGACAATGACCCGAAGCATACTTCAAAAGCAACCAAGGAGTTTTTAAGGGAAAGAAGTGGAATGTAATGCAATGGCCAAGTCAATCACTTGACCTGAATCCGATTGAGCATGCATTTCACTTGATGAAGACAAAACTGAAGGGAAAATGCCCCAAGAACAAGCAGGAACTGAAGACAGTTGCAGTAGAGGCCTGGCAGAGCATCACCAGGGATGAAACCCAGCGTCTGGTGATGTGTTCCAGACTTCAGGCTGTAATTGACTGCAAAGGATTTGCAACCATGTATTAAAAAGTGAAAGTTTGATTTATGACTGTTAATCTGTCCCATTACTTATGGTCCCTTAAAAAGTGGGAGGCACATATACAAACTGTTGTAATTCCCACACCGTTCACCTGATTTGGATGTAAATACCCTCAAATTAAAGCTGAAAGTCTGCAGTTAAAGCACATCTTGTTTGTTTCATTTCAAACCCATTGTGTTGGTGTATAGAGCCAAAAAGATTAGAATTGTGTCGATGTCCCAATATTTATGGACCTGACTGTAGCTGAAAAGTGAATTGTGTCAATCAAGTTCAGCCTTCCTCACATTTGTTTTTTGCTGTTGATCCAAAAGAAGGCAAAAAACCCAGTTTGAAGCACAATTTTGCAACAAGCTAGGAAAAAAAATTCCTTCTTGACCCGAGAATGGCAGTCAGATTTATCCTCGGATCAAGCAGTTATTACCCTACATTGAAATATTATATCCTTGAATATTCTGTATTTGCAAGTATGCATTCAGGGCCGGACTGGCCTACTGGGATACCGGACCGCAATTACAGGGCTAGTGTGCACCAGCCCGGGCCGCAATTACAGGGTGACCGGCAGGAGGGGATGCGCTCTCCTCCTGCCGGTCACAGAATGTAGCGTGGCCGAGCAGGCAGATCGCGGTAGGGGAGCTTCTGTTCACCTACCCGGTCTGACAGGAAGCGAGAACGCTCCTCCCGCGAGCAGGCAGGTTGGAGCGTTGCCGTGAGTTACCATGGCAATGCTCCGACCTGCCTGCTGTTCTCGCGGGAGTAGAGAGAAGTCAGCCTGCAGCCTGAGGAGCTGTAGGCTGAACAGCATGTGCCACCACTGGACCACCAGGGATTGAACATTAAAGAATAGTCGTTCCCCCTCTCCCCTGACCAAAGGTAAGGGGGGAGGGGGGTAATATAAAGCTTTTTTTATTTTTAAAATATATCAATGCTATAAACCCCCCCATAAACACTACACCCCCCCACCCACAGCACCCCTCCACACATAATAAACAGCACCACTCCACACACACAGAACCCCCCACACTCAGCACACCTTCACACACAGCATTCTTCCATGCACACAGCACCCCTTCACACACACAGCACACTTCCATGCACACAGCACCCCTTCACACACACAGCACCCCTTCACACACACAGCACACTTCCACGCACACCGCACCCTTCCACACACACAGAACCCCTTCACACACACAGCACACTTCCATGCACACAGCACCCCTTCACACACACAGCACCCCTTCACACACACAGCACACTTCCACACACACAGCACCCTTCCATGCACACAGAACCCCTTCACGCACACCGCACCCCTTCACGCACACAGAACCCCCCACACTAAGCACCCCTTCACACACACAGCACACCTCCACGCACACAGCACCCTTCCACCCACACAGAACACACACAGCACCTTCACGCACACAGAACCCCCCAACACTAAGCACCCCTTCACACACACAGCACACTTCCACGCACACAGCACCCTTCCACGCACACAGAACCCCTTCACGCACACAGCACCCCTTCACACACACAGAACCCCCACACTCAGCACCTCTTCACACACACAGCACCCCTTCACACACACAGCACACCTTCACACACTCAGCACCCCTTCACACTCAGCTCCCCTTCACACACACAGCACCCCTTCATGCACACTTCCACGCACACAGCACCCTTTCACGCACACAGCACCCTTTCATGCACACAGAACCCCTTCACACTCAGCACCCCTTCACACTCAGCATCCCTTCACGCACACAGCACCCTTCCACGCACACAGCACCCTTCCACGCACACAGCACCCCTCCACACACACAGAACCCCTTCACACACAAACGGCCCTCTCTCCACACACACACACACACACAGCAACCCCTCCACACACAGCACACACACACTGTAGCTCCCCACACACACTAAACCGCTACACACACTGCACCCCCTCCAAATACACACCACACCCCCCACACATAGAACCCCTACCCACACTGCACTCCCCACACACTGAACCCCTACACACACTGCACCCCTCACTGCAGTCTCTATATGTGTGTATTCAGCAGTCTGTATGTGTGTGTATTCAGCAGCCTGTGTATATATTCAGCAGTTTCTATATGTGTGTATTCAGCAGTCTGTGTGTGTTTTTTGCGGTTTGTGTGTATTCAGCAGTGTGTGTATTCAGCAGTCTGTGTGCGTGTATTCAGCAGTCTGTCTGTGTGTGTAAGTATTGTATTTGTTGGAGGTACCAATAAATATAAGCCTAATTTTATTGATAATTTATATTTTTATTCCTTTGAGTGATTGCGTAGTCAGGGCCCCAGTGCATTGGTTTGCCCAGCGGGCTATTATGCTGTTATGATGGCCCTGGTCTAGGATATGTGTGTGCTCTGGTGATCATACTCCTACAAAATGTAAATGAAAAGACACTCATTTGAGTACCAGGAAGGGGATAAGCTGTAAGAGCCACTTCTGGCCAAGAAGAGGTTAAAGACTTCTAGTGTGTATGTATTTCTCTGTTTTGTTTTGTTTTAGCGATTTTTGTATCGCGAATGGGTGTCCCATTTTTATATTTTCAAAATCTAGTCACTCTAGACACATGGAAGGTTGGGAGGGGGTATAGGCAGGGCTGGATTAACATAGGGGCTGATGGAGCTGCAGCTCCAGGCAGTGGTGTATCCTGGTTTTGTGCTGCCCTAGGCAGGACAAAACTCAGGTGCCCCCTCGCCCCGCGCCACCCCCACCCAACCCTTCCCCCCGCCCCACCTTCTAAATACACACACACACACACACACACAGTCAGACACACACACACAGTCAGACACACACACACAGTGAGACACACACACAGTCAGACACACACAGTCAGACACAAACACACACAGACACACACACACAGTCAGAC